CCGGGGTACACGCTCAGAGCCCAGATACCTCCACTTCCCCACCAGTGGCTTTTTCATTACTGGCTTGAACCTGTCGTCCACTGTCCATGTGCCCACACCAAACAGGGTTTTGTCTCAGCATATGAGGAACAGAGGGGCGTTAATGCTTCTAGGGAAGTCACCTCCAAGGAGGCCTCAAGGCCAGCAAGTGGACATGGATAGGGTCCGGTGCAGGGTATGCACCCTGTTAGGTGACGCTGTTAGGTCACATCCCAAGCTCAGTGCATCTCCTTCCAGGGATGCCTGAGTCTGTCCGGGCCTGGAGGATGGCATGGGGTCTCCACAACCCCATGGTCCCACATGAGGGGTCTCCACAAAGCCAGGCCTCCACACGTCATGCGGGGGCAGACAAGCCCAGCTCTGCCCTCTTTCCATGGGCGTGGAATAGAGACAGGGCCTTACGGGTGGTGCTGGCCAGGCCTTGGTGCTTTTCCTGAGGACCGAGATTGGTGAGGACCCCGTTCAGCTGGGAAAGCATTTCCTTATCGATCCGGGGAGTCCACAACAGTGAGTGGTAGTAAAGGTCCACTTGTGTCCACTCCAGATAAGTACTTAACGCTTGTGGGTAGAATCTGAGGTCTTCTATGACATGCAAGACAGAAAGGCATTGATTCCTCCCGCAGACACCTGCCCGGTGCTTGCTGTGCGAGAGGTGCTGACGGTGTGGAAATGGAAATCGTAACATGCCCAACCCAAGATGCTCACAGCCCGCGAACACGTCCGTGTACCGTGAGTGCTGTAGCCCAAGCCAGAGGAGGCAGCGTGAGGTTCTGGAGAGGACAGAAGTCATGTGTGTGTGTGCATGTGTGTGTGCGCGCGCACGTACGACACGGGGGAGGCTCTGGGAAGGCTCCGGGGAGTGGGCGACAAAGGAGACCAATGTCCAGTGTCCTGGTGGCCAGGAGGGGCAGTGAAGAGCATGTGCAGGGAACAGCTGGTGGTTCCGAGCACCTGGTCAGGGAGCAGCGGGGAATGAGCCAGAAAGGGAAGCCGACCAAGGCCTTGGATGCTGTGCCAAGAAGGGGGAGGGCCTCCACACGGGCAGTAATGCTGCTCTCCAGGTGATTTTTTTGGGGTTTGATTGTTTTCCCAGCACATGATCTCTTCTTTCGGGGGAGGGAGTTTTTGGGGGGTGCAAAGGAAACATGTGAAAATGTCTATTTCAGTGGATTCTGCACAGGCAAAGTCAAAATACCAGTCCGTGCTGTACAGCATAGGCTGAAAGCACGTTTACAGAGCGTGATGCCCGCCAGCGAGGCCCACCCCTGGCCTCCAAGCAGGCTGCGCAACACCATCTGCTGGAGGAGAGGAATGGTGAGAAACGGCACTCAGAAGCATTTTTCTCCAGAAATGAGGGGGAAGTTGGATTTACTGATATTCAGTAAGGAGGGACTCTGGCACGCCTGCTGGCTTGTTGGCGGTCACGCACCCTGGCAGGGACGGTGGCCCTCGGCCGCTGGTTGAGTTTAAGCCTTGCACACATGCCGGAATTCACGGGACGCAGGACAGGATGTTCAGGTGGAATGAAAACACACAAAATCACGGCTGAAGCGTTATGGTGCTTCATAGGGATTTGGGAAGTGACCGTGAATACCCCTGGTGACAGGAGGGGTCACCAATCATCTTGGGACTTGGAACTTAGGACAGAAATATGTATTTCCTTTCAACGAATGTTCCAGATCTGGAGGTCCTTTTCCTTTCTCTCCATGACAACGGACTGCTGCTGCGTGTCCGCTAGCTCATATCTTTTAAGCCGAAACACTCAATTCTGTGCCTTCAAGAAAAGGTGGCAATGAGTGAGAGTTGCGGCTTTTCGAAATACCCTGGGCTAGGAATAGAGCATTTATGAAAAGGGGTGTGTGGAGCCCGGGGGCAGCGCCATCGACAGGCACACGCACACGCACACGCACACTCACATGCCAAGAGCATCCCAAGGCCAGACGCTCTACCTGCACCAGCAGCCCCTGAACGCTTAGCACCCCCCACCCCCTGCCCAAGCAGCAAGAGCCCTTGCGAGACTGGTGAGTGGGAGTGAGTGAAAGCCAAGTCCTGGGCTCACAGCACAGTCTGTGTGGCTTCACGAGGGTCGTGCGGTCTACCCGCGACACTGCCAGAACCCGGAACCAGACCTTCAGACAAGGACTCAGGGTTCATCGGGACTTTATAAATGGGGTCCAGGCTCGCTCACACGGCTTTCTTTGAAAAACAGCATACGGGATGGGCACCCGGTTGGCGCCGTCACTGGGGTATGTGACTCTTGCTCCTGGGGACGTTGAGTTTGAGCCCATGATGGGCATACAGACTACTTAAAAAAATAAAAACAGCCTGTGTTTTAATGGCTGACCTAGTGGCAGTAATACGCTGGACAAAGTGACCGTGTTCACTTCGCTTCTTGTCCCTTTAAAAGGTCCGTGTGTGTGTGTGTGTTTCTGGGCCCACGATCCTTGGGATGGTAGTACACGGCTTTATTTTATAAATAACTAAATGAAACATATGGGGGTGCAAACTCAAATTCTCTCACACATAGCAGCGTGCAAGAAAAAGCTTGTGGACAACGTATTTACACAGCAGCCCTTGCACGGATGAGGTGGGAACAAATCTGTGAGGCCTGGTCATTGTCCGGGAGCCCCAGGAGGCTGGGTTCAAGGCTGTGGTCGCTTGTATCGGAGACCCAGCCAGAGACCCGGTTTGCTGGCCTCGCGTTCACCACCACCACCTGCCCTGTCCAGGGTTGGGACAGCTGTCTCCTTGGGGTCACATGGCTCTGAGTTCATAGTGACGCTCCTCACAGGGGCTGGGGCGGTACATTTTTAAGGCAGGGGTGTGGCCCAAGGGAAGCTATGGGGAGAGATTTCCACAAAATCTGTGCTGCCTCCTGCTTTGTTCACCGTGGCTGGAGCCTCGGTCCCACTCCTGTCCCGCAAGCTGTTCTGCCTCTCTGGGTGTAGGAAAGGAGGTAATGAGGCGACTGGGGATCCCTGGGGACAGGTAACCATGGGTTTCTGCAGCAAGCGTATTACTCAGCTCCTGCAAAGGTACCAGTCTGCCTGTTGACTCCAAATCTGAGCCACTCCGGGGGACGGGGGCTGACACGCCCTATGCTTTCCCAAGGGGGCCTGGGCCTCCTGGGGTTTTGTCTCCTTGCAATATCATTTCCCAGTCCAGTCCCAGTCCTGCTGTGAAGCAGGCCCGGATAACCCCAGCCCAGGGGCTCTTCACCCTGGCTGCACAACAGAATCTTCTGTTGGGGGGGGGTTGCTTTAAGACAGAAGCGGACATCCGAGGCCTGCCCCCCGAAGATTCTGGGTTCTGGCCTGGTCATGGGACCTGTCCCGGGATGCCTCCACCATGCAGCCAGGGTTGAGACCTTCTGCTGTTGTTGGAAGCCGTCCCAACAAGTTGGAAGCAGCTTCTCTGATGTCTCGAGGGGCACTTGTCTCATTCTGTCTGATGCTACAGTTACTCATGAATCAATCATTCTCTTTAGCTCTATCCTAAGGTCCCCAAGAGCAGGGACCACATCCAGTTCATCTTTCCATCATGCCCAGAGTCTTGCCCATCCGTCTCCCCTGAGTTCTAGAATGTTTTCTTTCCCTCCACTGACTCACTAGCAGACGATCTACTGTCGTCTTGGGAAGCTGGGCTGGAGAAGAGATAGTCAAGTGGGGAGTCTTCCTGGGCCTTCCTGGTTTAGAATAAGTCAGAACAGGTTCCCATGAGACCGCCACATGCACCTTGTAAGGCTAGTGTTTTTTAAAAAGCCCCCAGAGCTGATCTCTCCTGTTGCAAACGACTGTCTCATCAGCATGACGGGAGATCACCAGAGATGGAACGATGTCATCCTGTGTGTCAAATATGATGACCAAGTGTGCAATTAAAAAAAAGAAGAAGAAGAAGAGCGAGGGGATTCCCAAGGCATCCATTTTTCTTATTTTCCCTTGATGCAAACTTTCTAGAGGAAAGGAACCTTAATCTTTTCAAGTTCACCCAAGGCAGCACCCAACCGTTCAGAATTGAATGACACCGTTGCTCAGGAGAAAAAAGCCAGCCTGATTCACTTGCACCCTGCTCGGGTCCCCGCTCTGTCAGGGGCAGTCAGCCACCCATTCAACAAGCGTTTCTCCATCCCCTGTTCTGGGCCAGGCTCGGGCTCTGTTCTGGGAACCCAAGCCCTGACCAGACCCAGGCCGGCCAGTAAGTGGGCTCACAGCGCAGCAGGCAGAGGGGTCAACAAACAAATACCCGATAAGGCAATGGGCTTTCTTTAGGCCACGTCCAAGGAAGTGAGGTTGGGGGTTCTGGTTCGCACACCAAGTGTGCACCAAGTACAGGAGACGGGCCCTGCCCTCATGAGGCTACAGCTTAGTGTGTGAATGCCGAAACCGGTGTAAACGCAAATTCACACCACGGACCCACTGACCACGGACCCCAGAGGTTACTGAGGGCTGTTGCAGGCCTCTCCACCTAGACCAAGCGTCCCCGCCTTTCTGCCCGCTGCAGAGCTCCCACCACGAGTACTGGAGCACTGCCCGCCCCCCCCCCATTCTGGCTCCCGGGAGTGAAGGGCTGGGCGCAGGCCGGACTCCGGGGTGGGAAGCACTCCCACCCACCCGGGAAATCTGCACGAGGGATGAGCCAGCAGCATCCCAGCGGCCCTGCTCCGCGCTCCCGGCCTGGCGGCTGCAAGGCTCTACCGGGCGGGCGCCCCGAGTGCCTGCCTGCCGGACGAATGCCAACAGGGCCACCCTCCCGGCTCGGCACAAAGGGTGCCGCGGCGCGTCCAGCTCCGGGGTTCGCGGAGGAAGCCGCCCGAGGGGAGGGGGACACGCCCAGAGGCCCGGCCCGAGGGCAAGCGTGAGTCAGGGCAGCCTGGCGCTGCGGCCCCGCCGAGGTGCACCTGCCGGGCGCGGCGGGGCGGCGCGCGGGAGGGGGGGGGGTCTGGAGCAGGCCGGTCAAGCGGGATGCGGCCGCGGGGGCAGGACGGCCGGGAGGAGGGCGGCCCGGAGCCGCGAGCCCCGGGAGCAAGCGAGCGCGCGCGGCGGGTCCCGGCGGCACTCACCGACCCTCGGCGCCAGGGCGGCGGCGGCCGGCGCGCTGCCCTCTCGCGGGGTCCCCTGCCTCGGGCCCGGCTGCGCTCGGCCTCTCGGCGGCGGCGACACCGACGACCCGTGCTGACAGCGGCTGGGCAGCCGGGCGGGGAGGGGGCGCCTGCAAACAGGAGCCGGCGCTGACCCGGCGGCGCAGGCTCCTGCAGGGGGCGCGCCGGCCGGCTCGCGCGTGCGCAGTGGGCCAGCCCTGCGGGTGCCCGGCCCGCCCGACGCCCCGCCCCGGCCCGCCCCGCCCCAACCGCGCCTGCGCAGTGCCCCCGCGCCGCCGCACGGCCGGCAGGGGGCGCCGGACCCCAGGGCGGGGGGGGCGCTGCGTCCACCTGCCCTTTGGAGCGGCTGGAGCAGTCGCCTGCCCCCGCCGTTCCCTCCAGCACTGTACTTATTTGGGCGCGGTTCCCTGTGTCGCGAGGGAGGGCGACTGGCCCCCTCGGACCTGGTGCGGACTGCCGGGGGGCGGGGAGGATGGAGGGTGGAGGATGCGGAACTTTCTAGAAAACGGCCAGGCGGTTTGGAAAGCTCAGCATCCTGCGGTGTGTCCAGGGTCACGGGGCGGAGTTCAGAAGGGCCGGAGGGCCTGGGGGCCATGAGGCCAGGTGGGGGCCACCTGAGCTGGGAGGTCGTGGGTTAGGGTTTCTAAAATCAGAAACAGACGGAGACGAGCCTTGCGGGGCCCCTGAGCGGACAGAGCCGGTCTGGTCCTGGGGCAGAGCTTAGGGTCGTCCTGTTTCGCAGGGCTAGCCTGACCGGGGTCGCTTCTTGCTGGTGCCGCTGCGAACGGTGAAACGCGAACCGCGGGCGCGGGTTGGCGGGAGGCGAGCGCCGAGAGGGGCCGCTTTGTACCGACCGCGCGCCGCGGTCCGGGCTGCCTGCCGCGCCCCGACGTCCCCCGCCCCGCGCGCGGGCCTGGTCTGCCAGCCGTGGTTTGGCGTGTGCACAGTCCGTGTGCACAGTCCGTGTGCCCTGACGAGGCTCAGTGACTCATTGCTTTCTCGGGGGCTAGTGGGGAGCTCTGCCTCGGCCGGGGCCACCTCAGACGCGAGGGATACAGGTCGGGGCGGCACCTGCAGCGGAGAGGGGCCTGAAGCTGGGCTGCGGCCACCATGGGAGGGGCAGAGTCACCTGCTGCGGAGAGGTCACGAGACCAGGCAGGGATCAGCTGGGACCGGAGGGTCCCGAGGCCGGGTTGGGGTCACCTGGGGGGCGGTGAGGTCGCGTTGCAGGGGCGGGGCGGGACTGGGCGAGGGGCCTGGGCTGGAGTCTCCTGGGCGGCGGCGGCGCGGGGCCAACAGTCGCCGCGGGCCGGCCCCCTCGGGTCCCCAGCGCCCGGACTGAGCGACGCCAGGGGTCTACGGCTCGGGATCGTCCCCGGCACAGGCGCACCTGCCGCTGGCTGCGTCAGCGCTTCCCGGGGCTCACTTGGGGCGGCCGCACCTGCTGCGCCCCGCACACCTCCGCGACCAGGACGCGGCTGATCCAACCGTAAAGTAATGACCCGAGTAGGGAAGCTTCGGTCCCTGCCACCCCAAGACTCCGGATTAGCGATAGAGGGTCTCCCTGTTACCGTTTGAAGCGGTGCTGTTTACTTGGGCTTTTGTGGCCTCTCTTCCCTCCGTCTCCTTCACCAGAAGGTGGGCTCCATGAGGAAAGGGACTTGTCTAGCTCACCGCGACATCTCAGGGTCCTGGAGTGCCTGGCAGAGAGGAGGCACCCGGTAAATATTTGTTGAATGAGGGGTCAGATGTCCTGGCTTCGCTCTGGACCCGGCTGTTGGACTAGCGCCGGCGTGTCATTTCACAGCTCTGAGCCGCCATCTCCTGTCCCTCAAATCAGGATGCTAATAGACTAGTAACAGTACCAAACTCAGAAGGATTTTGTTTTCGGGTCAAATGGGAAAACGAGTAAACGCTTATCCGGATGCCTGACACATAAGCACTAAGGAAGTGGTAGTCGCCGGTGAGCCTAGCGGAGGCTTACCAGCCTGGTCTTCACGGAGCAGACAGCCGTGAAGCAAATAAAGCCCCCAAACCCAACAACGGAAAACCCAACTGAAAACAGTTACAGTCGAGGTGGAGGAGTGGATTATTAATGTGTGGCGAGCATCTTAAAACACCGTCTCTCCCCATCGTCGCTCACAGCCCTCACCCCCTCCCTCCCAGCCCAGGTGTCCGCAGGGAAACTCTATGAACCTCGCTGACCAGCGTTTTCCTCACTCTTTCCTCTTTCAAGAACCAGTCTTTGCCATCTCCAACTCATACTGGTTCCACCTTGCAATTTCCCTCCAGCCCTTTCTAAACCTGGAAGGGTTCTGCGTGACCCAATCCAGGAACAGAGCGGGGCTGGGTCGGGCTTCCCTCAGATGGAAGGTGAAGGTGGGGATTAGGAGGAAGGACCGCCTGACCAAGAGAGACGCCTGCAGAGTGGTGAATGAACCTTTGTTTTTGACCCTGTTAGGGTGCCTGTGTGGTAATTATGATTAGTCACCGCAATCATGAACCTAGAGGGTACAAGGCCACTGGCGAAGGAAGACGTTCTGTGGGAGCATTCTAGGCTCCACACACCTGATCACAAATGACAGCCCACAAGGGGTGAGCCCTTCGGACGGATCCTCAACAGTCACTCTTTTGCTCAAGGCTCACTAAACCTAGACGGTGTAGCTGGTATTCTTCCAAGTGGAGGCCCAGTTAAGGGGGATAATTTATCCAAAGTCCCATAGTAGACGTGGGCCTGGAGCCCAGGTGTTCCGATGTCCGGGCTCCTGGACTCCTGACAGTCTCTGCAAGGTAAATTACTCACAGTCACGTAGTGTGAAAACAGGCCAGGTCATTCATTACAGGGGGTACTCCTTGGGGTTCCCATGGCTCAGACATTTCTCAAGATTGATGGCAAAAATTAAGGTGATGCTCAAGGAAAACATAGGGCTGTACAAAAGGCAGTAAACCTTGTCATTGCAGAAGTTGGCTGACATCTTTAGATATACACTTGTACACACCCTATGCTTTTTAAAAATGGAACCAATATGTCAGCTCCCATTTCTTTTGCAAGGACACAAATACTATCTCCCTTTCCATCTGTATCTGTCTGTGCTTATAGATCTGTACGTTCTTGTACAGCAGTGCCCACGTTGGTGGTATTCAGTGGAGAATTTCAGAAGACAGCTTCTCTGATTGTTTCCATAGGAACGATGTTATAATTGGAGGCTTCGTCCTAGACCAAGGGCTGTACACATACTCCTTCGTTCAGCAATGGAGAGGCATTAATATTGTAGTAGTTAAAACTGCTTATGGACTCTGGCCACACAGCCTCGAACCGAATCCCAGCCCTTAATGCCTCACGTAACCTCTTTGTGCCTTGGTTCCCTTGCCTAAAGCAGGGAGCACATACTACTCACTTCATGGGATTGCCGTGAAGATTCAAAGCTTGGAAACATATGGAATGCTTCAAAAATGCTCAGCACTTAGCAAGGGGCCAGTTCCTAGTTTTGGGGAGGTTTTGAGTAAAGCCTTCTGTAATAATTTGTATATAGGTTTTGTATAAGAGATGTTATTTGTGTGTGTTTGAAAGTAAAAATGCCCATTTTATTTCAGTAACAATTTAGGAATAGGATCATTGAATTGTATGGAAGTGTGTGTTTAGCTTTATAATAAAACGTAAGAAACACACGGCTGCACCATTTTGCATTGCCCCATTGGTTTATAAGAGTTCCAGTCGCTCTGTAACTTTGCCATCACTGAAAAAATATTTTTTTCCCGGCCATTCGAGTAGTTGGTCGTGGTATTTTATTGTGGTTTGAATTTGCTTTTCCCAGTGACATAATGCTGAACATCTTTTCCTGGGCTTATTTGCCATACATACATCCTCTTTGGGGCAGCATCTTTAGAAATTGGGTGTTAATTTTCTTACTGTTGAGTTTTGAGAGTTTTATATATTCTGGTTAGAGCTCCTTTGTCAGGTAAGCAATTTGCAAATATTTTTCCCTGGTCTCTGCCTTGCTTTCCCACCCTGTTAATCTTTTGCAGAGAAAAAGATTCTAATTTTAATGAAGCCCGACTTACCGATTTTTCTTTTATGCTTTTCGTGTCGTATCTCAGGAATCTTTGCTTAATCCAAGGTCTCAGGGATGTTCTCCCTGTAGTTTTTTAAATTTTATTTTATTCCTAGAAGTTTCAGAGTTTGAGGTTTTGCACTTAGGTCTCTGCTATATTTTGAGCTGATTTTGTATAATGGATTGAGGTATTGATCAAAGGGGATTTTTTTCCCCTTACATGATACCATTTGTCCCACCACCCTCTGTTAAAAAGATAATTCCTTTTTCCATTGAATTGCACCTTTGTCAAAAATTGACCGTATTTGTGAACCTCTCTTTTTTAACTCTTTTGTTCCACTGGTCTGCGTGTGATTTTAGTCTGGGCTTTGGCACACTCTTTCTGTAAAGGGCTGGAGGGCAAATGTTTAAGGCTTTGCATGCCAAGAGGCAAATTTCAGGGTATCATACACATCCTTGTTATATGAGACATTAATTTATATTAATTTAAATTAATATTAATTTGAATTTAAAATTTAAATTAATAATTATATTTAAATAAAATAAAATAAATTAATAATAAATAATAATAATAATATAATAATAAATAATAATAAAATAATAATAAAAAAATAAAATTTAAATTAATAATTATATTATTAATTTGAATTTTAAATTCAAATTAATATTACTGTCTTAAATAAATATTTTTTCCAAAAATTTATTTAAGACAGTAATATAATAATTGAATATAACTTTCTCTTTGCAACATAGATCTACTCATGAGAACAACGGAGTTCTTTTTTTACGGGTTAATGTATTGCTTTGCCAGGGTTCAAAGATAGTACTCCCTACCGCCATAATCTATTGTAAATGCTTGTCTGTCACTGTGGACCAGTCATAAGATTTTGTGTATCTCACCGTGACTGTGACTTCAGTTGACTGTCTTCGTGGCTTGAAAGGCATTGATCGAACCCCATTAGACTCCTCTCCATAACTTGCCTTGTTGCCTGTCATTGCATTATAGATTAGTCCCAGCCGGCTGAAGGTGAGATGGAGGGTCCTTAGTCACATAGTTACACCGATTTTAGAAAATAATGAAAATTTCCGGGGCACCTGGGTGGCTCAGTGGGTTGGGCCTCTTGCCTTCAGCTCAGGTCAGGATCACAGGATCCTGGGATTGAGCCCCGCATCAGGCTTTCTGCTCAGCGGGGAGCCTGCTTCCTCCTCTTTCTCTCTGCCTGTCTCTGCCTGCTTGTGATCTCTCTCTCTCTGTCAAATAAATAAATAAAATCTTAAAAAAATAATGAAAATTTCCTTTCACGTACACTGAGGTCTGGAAAACACTGCTGGAGCTGTCGTCTGAGCTTGGAAGATGTTGCTTGTTTTGTCATCAAAGCAATCATACGACAGAAGAAGGCTCACCCAACAGGCACTGTAGGGGCTAAATTCAGAGCTATTCTGTGCTCGGTCGCTGTGGTTGAGGGCAGTCCTCCCAGCCACGGGTTTGCAGGCTGGGCTGCCGTGGGCTGAGTTTGCCTACGGGCCATAGATGTCCTGCCTAGGCTTCAGCTAATTCTATATTGTCTTAGTTAGTGTAACGTTAATGAGGCAGGAGGTATCCCCCAGTTCTGTTCCTCTTTCAATATGATTTTGGCTATTTTAGTCCCTTTGCCATTCCGTGGGAATTTTAAAGTCACCTTGTTGATGTCTGTCATTGATACCGTAGAGATTTTGACTGGGATTGCACTGAATCTAAAAATCAGTTTGGGGGAACTGAAGTCTTTGTACAGACGTCTACAGTCCATGAGTATGGTATATCTTCCCATTTACTTCATTTTAAAAAAACTTTCATTAACGTTCTTTCGTCTAGATTCTGGACGTATTTTGTTGGATGTACTTCTAAGTATTTCATTTTATCGATATTATTACAAATGATACCTTGAAAAAAACTTTGGATTTCCGCTTGTTCCTTGCTAGTATATAGAAATACAACTGACTTTTGTATATTGACCTCATCTCCTGGGACCTTGCTGAACTCACCTATCAGTTGTAGAATTTTTTTTATAGATTTCTTGGGAAAATCATGACATTTGAGAGTAGAGACACTTTTCTTCTTACATTATTATTATTATTATTATTATCATTATATGCCTTCCTTGTAATGTTTTTGTCTGGCTTTGGTATCAAGGTAATGCTGACCTCATGATATGAGTTGGGAAGTAGCTTACTTCTTCTACTTCGTGGAAGAGATTGTGTAGAATTTGTATCATTTCTTCCTTAGATGTTTGTTAGAATTTGCCAATAAGGGGCGCCTGGATGGCTCAGTGGGTTAAAGCCTCTGCCTTCAGTTCAGGTCATGATTCCGGGGTCCTGGGATCGAGTCCCACATCGGGCTCTCTGCTGAGCAGGGAGCCTGCTTCCTCCTCTCTCTGCCTGCCTCTCTGCCTACTTGTGGTCTCTGTCTGTCAAATAAATAAATAAAATCTTAAAAAAAAAAAAAGAATTTGCCAATAAAAACCATCTGAGTCATGGTTTCTGTCTTGGGATGCTTTTAAATATGAATATAATTTCTTTAGCAGATAAAGGACTTTCAGGCCACCTATTTCCTCTTGAGTGAGTTTGGGTAGTTTATGTCTTTCTGGGAATTGGTTTCACCTAGGTAGTTGAACAAAGAGAAATCAGTACTGTTACTGATAATATTCAGTTAATTTGAAATGTTTTCTTTATCCTGCACTAAGTTCCCATGAATACTTTGGTGTATATATAGATTCTTCTTTTTTTAGTGAGCTGTTGCTGTCCTAGTATGATATTCTCTTAATTAATGAAGTTATATAACAACATATTTAATAATGTGGATAGTTTCTGGTTGTTATCTGTCCCTTTCAGAATTTTCTTGCCCGATTTCATACTATTGTGCTTCCTGTGGATTTCTGAATCAGTTTTTTAGAAATCTTGTTGAAATCTTTATTGGTGCTATGTAAAATTTGTAGATTTATTTAGGAGAATTAAAATCTTCATACTGACTCTTTCTTTGCAGTGATAGGTCTCCCCAGGGACACCTTGATGGCTGGTTGGTTAAGTGTACATCTCTTGATTTTGGCTCAGGTCATGATTCAGGGGTGTTAGGTCAAGCCCCATGTTGGGCTGAGTGTGGGAGCCTCCTTAAGATTCTCCCTCTGCCTCTGCCCCTCCACCCCTCTACGCCTCCACTGCTTGCTCTAAGTTTTTAATACTTGTTTATTTATTTGGAAGGGAGAGAGAGAGTGCGCACACGTGTGTGCACAGGTGAATGCGGGGGAGGCAGGGGGGAGACCTGCATGGCTCTGCATATGTATACGTAATATCAGTACGTTATAAGCAAGTCTTTTTCTAAGGTTAAAAAAAGAGAGAGATCCAGGAATACATGGTGGATTTTATCAAATGCCTTGTTGGAATTTATTGACACAATAATACGTTTTGAATCTTTTCACCGATAAATACGGTGAATTACACCAACAGATCTCATGATAGTGAAAACAGTGAATCATTCCGGTATTTCTGGGACGGATTTCCCGTTTGTTCATGGTGTTTTATTCCTCTCATGGACCTCATCAAGGGCTTTTATGTCTTTTCTTCAGTGAGAATGAGTTGTAGTTTTTTTGTTTAGGTGGTGGATTGGTTGGTTTTAAATGCTTTCCTTCTCAGAGTTTGGGATCGCTGTTACGGTAACAGGTTTTTAAGTACCGGACGTTTTCTGGCTTTACGTTTATGGATCAGTTCGAGTAGCATCAGAACAAACTGTTCCTTGCAGTTGAAAACGACTCACCCATTTGAGTTATCACTGCTTGTCCTTCTCTGCAGGCTCTTGGACAACTTTCTCGATTTCATCACAGTTTATTTGCAGAAATATTTAGGTTTTTAACAGTCTCTTCCTGGGGGTGCCTGGGTGGCTCCGTGGGTTAAGCCTCTGCCTTCAGCTCAGGTCAGGATCTCAGGGTTCTGGGATGGAGCCCCCTGTATTAAATGTGATGCCCAGGCCCCTCGCCGGGTGAGTCGGCAGTGCCCCCATGAGAGCAGACAGAGTTTCCTTCCCTGTTGTGTTGATGCTGGAATGGTTAGCAAGTGTGTGTGGGAAGATGCTTGAAATGCATTTGTGCGGTTTGCCTTGGCCTCTTGCCATGAGAGCAGCCTGCCATGAGAGATGTGCAGAGCAGACCTGCATGCGTCCCCGCCAGCCGCGCTAACAACCCCGGACCGGGCGCCGGACACACACGAATTTACTTCTGGAGGCTGGACGTGCGAGACCGAGGTGCCGGCAAGGTCAGATCTTCCGGCCAGTTCAGTCCCTCCGCTGGGCTTGCAGGTGGCTGCCCCGGGCTCGTGCTCACCTGGTCTTCCCTCTGCGCCTGGCGGCCCTGGCCCACATCTCCTCTCACCGTTAAGGGCACAGTCAGGCCACACTCACGGCCTCGTTTTGCCTTCGTCGCCTTTGGAAAGGCCCTGCCTCTCAGAACAGTCACAGGCTGAGATCCTAGGGATGAGGACCTCGACACCGCGGTTGGTGGGGGGCACAATTCAGCCCATAACCAGACCTAAAGGCCGGTCCAGCCAAACCCAGGAGGCGGCAGGCCACGAGCAGGAAGTCAATGTCTGCGGTTGGGGTTGTCAGATAACAAGCCTGCCCCCAAGGTTGACTAATATAATCGTGTCTTGTAGTCACTCTTTTTTTATGGAGGTGAAATTCACATCACACAATGAGGCTCTTTAAAGTGTACCTTCCGGGGCGCCTGGAGGCCCCGTCTGTTAGGTGTGGCACTCTTGGTTTCGGCTCTGGTCATGATCCCGGGGTCCTGGGATCGAGCCCTGCGTCAGGCTCCCTGCTCGGTGGGGAGTCTGCTTCCCCCTCTCCCTCTGCCACTCTCCCTGCTCATGCTCTCTCTCTCTCTCTCTCAAATTAATAAATCTTACAAAAACTCATGGAGCACACCTCCAGCGACGTTTAGTGCTCGCAGCACTGTTTCTTCAGTTCCCTGTGGCCAGCGTTGGAGAGCCTTCTCCCTGAGGAATATGCATCCCTCTATTCTTTCACCGACGGGAAAACATCTTCATGGAAGTGAAAATCGCATCGTGGTGGGAGCTAGAGGTCAAAACGTGTGACCCCGGGAAGCGGAGCGTGAAGGGGAAGGAACTCGCGGCTCGGCTGGCCTGCCCTTCCTCACAGGCCCGACCCTACACTTGCTGTGGACCCGGAACGCCTGGAGTTGTGTGTCCGCACCTACGGAGAGCTCAGCACCTGCCGGCCCAACTCTTGGGTCTGGTGACTCGGCGGCAGAACGAACCCAAACAAAACAAAAAAACATAAAAAAAAAAACACAAAAAAGCAAAAACCCCAACTCCCTGCCTTCGTGGGGCGTGCATTCTAGAGGGAAATCAGACCAACAGCGTGTTCAGCGGTGTAAATGGGCTATGACGAAGAACGAACACGGAAGACTGGTGGCATTTCCGAAATTTTACACAGGGCGGAAGAAAGGCTCCGTGGGGGTGATGCCTGAGAGGGGCAAGCGTGGGCCACGAACTGAGGCCAGTTCTGTCCCCTCTGGGTCACGGCCAGGTCTGCCGCAGGCAGAAGTGGGAAAGGAGAGGAGCCGGGGAGGGCTTCGCACGTCCTCATGCCCCAGCCGGGAAGGGGGGTTGGGGGCCGTGGAGTCACGTGGGTTGGGGGCTGGGGCAGGACCAGCCCTGTGCCCACTGGAGAACCCTGGTGCAGGCTGCAGACACACAGACAGACAGAGGTCATCCCAGTGTTCTGCATTGCAACCCCAAAGAGCCAGCGAGGTCACCCCTGGGTGTATCAGCCCAGCCGGGGCACAGGGGTATGGAGAAGTGTGCAGGGGAGGGGCGGCCAGCAGCAAAGTAGGGACAGCACTCTGGAAGCTCCTGGAGGACCGATATCTGCCCGGTTTGCTTCCCAGCCGCTGCCGATCCCTCCTCTCCACCTGAGAATGTGCAGGAATTTAAAACTTCTTCTTTGGAAGAATTTTACCTTGAAGGTGGGTAAGGCGCTCGGTGGGGCGGTGGGCATCTCCTGGGGCGGGACTGAATGTCGAAGTCAGGTTGGGTTCTAATAACGGAGGAAAGAAAAAAATCAGAACGGGGCCCCTTTCTGCAAGTGGGGCCGGTTCCTGTTGGAACTCTGCGAACTGTCCTCGGGGAAGCCTCGGCACCGGGCCACTTAACACGTGCGTCCTGCTTCGGGTGAACGCGCGCTTTCCTTTCTGCTGCAGAAGCGGAAGCCTCTGGTCACCGTGCTCGAGGCCCTCGCGCCGCTGCTGTTCTCCGCGATCGTCATGTACCTTCGCCTCCACAGTGCGCCCAGGAAACGGCCTCCTTTGAACCACCTCGCCACCAACATCAGTTTGCTGCCAGCGTTCTTCTACTTCCCCACGCAGGCTAAATACCAGCTCGCGTACGTCCCGTCCCAGAGCCACGCGCTGAGGGCTGTCACGGAGATGGTGCAGGATGCCTTCGACGTTGAGTTTGAAGGTGAGACACAAAGATGGGGGAGGGGCGGGGGGAGGGCATTTTTCCAGAGTCGGAGGCCTTCTCCGGAGGGTGTTCACGGACAGGATTCCGAATCGGGGTCTCCGACTCCGAGAAAGTCTGCAAAGGTGGTGGGAGAGCAGCCGGGGGGGGACTCGGATCCCACAGCCGTGCCCCCAACACTTGAGAGGTTCTGAATTAGTGTTCCGACGGGTCTCTCTTCTCCTCCTGACCCCTTCTAGTCCTGTCTCTGCATGGAGCCAGGGAGGTCTCTCAGAGGTCAGTGGGGGCTGGCCGGCCAGTGCTTCAGCCCTTCCAGTGGCTTCCATTGCACAGGCAGTGGAAGAGCCAGGCAGACCCTTCTCCAGGCTCCCCTGCGCCCCCCACGCCTCCCTCGGGCTGTGCCTGCCTATCCTCGTGATGGCGCCTAGCTGAGCAGCTGGGGCTTAGGTCTCTTACCGGTGCCTCCATTTCTCTCATCGCACGGCCACTAACAGCTCTCTGGGCGGCACCTGCCATCCCCGGCGGGGCTCTGGCTCCACGAGGACAGAGGCCCACGTCTGTTCTGCTCCCCACTGGGCCTACCACGTGCCTGGCACCCACTGCCCGCTCGGTACACATTGGCTGGATGGATGAATGCACTGAGGCCGACACGGCCTTTCAAAACACAGAGTCCACAAAACGTGGGGTGATTTCCCAAAGTTCTAATTATGGCACGTGTTTTTGTAAAGGCATTTCAGTAACGCAGAAGGTACAGAGTGAAAAGGCGGGGCTGTCCCCACCCAGCCCAGAGCACTCCTCGTGCACACACTCCTTTCAAAGCCCGTCCGTGGCCACGCGTGCGGGGACCGCTGTTTGGTGCCTCGTGCTTGCCTAGCGCCCTGAAATCCTGTGCCGGTCCAGTCGTATCTTTCACAAATGTGAGATTGTGAAATGAACTACAAGCGGAGCGATCTTCTCCGGGGAGGAGACACAGTGGTGAAGCCGTGAGGGTTAGGGACAAGCCATGCGGGGTCGGGGGTGACCTCAGGGCTCGGGGGCGGCCAGAGGGGGGCCTGCCGCAGGGAGCTGGCAGCCGTGGGCGAGGAGGAAGGAAGTGGGGAGAGTGGTCCCACTGAGGTCAGAGTGTCTGCGGGAGCCTCAAAGGCCTTGTCCAGGTCCTGGGTTTCCTTCTCATTCCCACGGCCGCCCACCATGGGAAGGGTTTTAAGAAGAGAAGTTACCTGATTTGTTCTAGAAGGGCCATCTCTGGCTGTTTTCTGGAAGAGAGACCAGGGCCCATGGTCTTCACAGACATTCAGGAGGAGGCCGGGGAGGGCGCTGGACACACAGGCAGACGGAGCCACGTGGATGAATTCGAGATCATTCTATAGCCGTAGGGGCGCCTGGGTGGCTCCGTGGCTTGGCCGTCTGCCTTCGGCTCAGGTTGTGATCCCAGGGTCCTGGGACTGAATCCCGCATCGGGCTCCCTGCTCAGAGGGGAGCCTGCTTCTCCCTCTCCCTCTGCAGCTCCCCCTGCTTGTTCTCTCTCTCTCTCTCTCTGAAATAAATAATATATATATATTTTTTAAATCTGCAAGTGGGACATGGTGGGTCAGAAGCCCTCCTGCCTGCTTTGGGCCTTTCTCAGTGGGCAGCCCTCCTGCTCCCAAAACATTCAGGCTTTGTATCTGGGCTGGTTTTCCACCCCATTTCTAGGGACCCCTCAGTGGCCTCCACCAAGAAGAAAACATTTCTATTCTGTCTTTCCTTAAGATCCCAGCTCAGGCAGTTTATCTTTTCTTGGGGTTGAGGTCTCGAACGTTTGCTTCTGTTTTATTGCTTCTGGCTCCTGTCTTGTCGTGTCACCGTGGGTATTCTGCCCTGGGTGCTGGGCTGACCCCTGCTAAGAGGAATGTGGCGCTGACGGTGGGTTCCAGGGCTTTCCTTCCAGTCCTTGCGTGGCTCGCGACCACCCGCCGTGTGTTCGCAGGTTTGCAGAAGGCTCAAGGGAGTGAGTGAGGCTTGCGGCCCTCCTCCGAGAAGTGGGGGCCCCTGCACCTGCCCAGGGAAGACGGCGATGGGTGGGCTGCGTGGGCTATCCCGCCAGCCCCTTGCGGACTGGGTCTTCTCTCTGCAGTTCTAGGCTATTCTTCAGTGCCCATCTTTGAGAATTACATAATCCAGGATCCCAAAGGCTTCTATGTGTGGGCTGGAATTGTCTTGGATCACAGCTTCAGGGACAGCAAGCAGCCCCTGCCACTAAATGTAAGGACAGCCTCTGGCATGGCCTGATGGCACTGCCCAGCCCCGGGGGTGAGTCCATGAGCGAGTCTCGTCACCTGAGCTGTCCCTCTGTTGTCACGTGTTACTGTCCTGTCTTACTGCCAGAGGAGGGAAGTAAACGCTCCGGGTTTCACTCCTTGCAACCTAGACCCGGGGGCCCCTCTGGTTCTCAGGTTCCTTCCAAGGGAAGGCTCATGCAGGGGAGGCTGCCTCTGAGGGGAGGGGACCATGCGTGCCAGCCGCCTGGTTATGGACTGGAGCCCACTCCGCAACCGCTAGCCGTCTAGCTGTGGGAAGGGCACTGGCCTTTCTGGGGCTCAGTTTCCTTGCCAGCATAATGGGATTAATAGTAGTTCCTAACTTGGAGCCTTAAATGAGTTTGTGCCCAGAAGGGAGCTGGGAAGAGGCATTTTCCAGAAGGACTGGTCCTAGTCACCACGGACTCAAAGTGGTAGGTCTGTCTGTCTGAGGGGAAGGCAGGCGTTCCTGTCTGGGGTGGGAAAGCTTTGGTGTCGAGCCATACCATCGCGTCTAGAGTGTCAGAACCTGCGTGGGGCGCTGGAAGGTGGGGGCGGACGTATGTATCCACAGCCAGCAACGTGTGGCTAGCACACAGGCCAGGCTCGCCCCAGGGTCACCCGACTGGACCCCACAGTCCCACAGTCTGTAACACCCCCCCCCCCACTTCCCTGACAAGGAACCCGCAAGAAGGTCACATGCCTTGCCCAACCGTGGCCTCCTCACAGGGGCTCCGGGCCGGCGTCAGGCCTGGGACTGCTCTGTCCTGGGTCCTCTGGGCGTCGGGGTCTGGTGACTGTGGCCCCCCTTCCCCCCACAGATCAAGTACCGCCTGTGCCTGAGCAGCGTGCACAGGAGCCCCTTGGCCTTGAAGGTCGCCGCCTACCATGAGCGCCTGGAGGGCTGGTGCAAGGGCCTGCGCTACCCTCTGAACCCGAGCCAAGTGCCCCGGGGCCTTCGGACATTTCGACGGGGGCCTCCCTGGTGAGGAAGCCCGCGTGCGCGCCACCTGGCCCTGAACGTTTCGTGAGAGAATGAGGGAGAAACGGTCAGAGAGTGTCACTGGGCAAAAGGCTTTCGTTCTAGAGGAAGCGGCAGTGAAGTGTCTCCCTGTGTCTCCCTGTGTTGCAGCGACGTTGAACTGCTCCGAGAAGGAAGGAAGCGTTTTACAGAAACAAGGAGGGGGCGTCCCTTACGCTTCTGTGCGCACTAACATCTGCCTTAGCTTCCGGCAGGCTAGGGACACCCACTCGTCCTCCCGAAGGACGCACGCTCCCCGTGTCACCGTAGAGCTCTGGGCTCCCTCTTTGTCAGGGGCTGCGGGGGGGCTTCCTGCAGGGCACGAGCTGCTCGCAGGACATGGTGCCGACAAGCCGCACCTCACTATGGGACGAGCCCACACCCTGGGCCTGCCCGGCCAGGGAGGGAGAATGTAAACCGAGGGCTCACAGACCCATGTGATTCCAGAAAGTTTCCAGCCCTTCTGCGGAGGAAACTCCAATACACAGTCAAGACCATGTGACACTCCTGGGATTTTAGTACCGACTACGTGTTCCTCCCACATTCATCCTCCTGGATCTGGGGTCCACAAGGGGCTGGGCCCTCGGGAGACCTTGGTCGCCTCCACCTCATTCCTGTGTGCCCCGCCCTGGCTCTGCCCACAGGAGGGCCCGGAACCGCGCTTGGAAGCGGGGCCATTATCTCTTACAAGACCCCCAGGCCTGGCGTCTCTGCCCTTCACCTTTCATCTTTTCCCAAAAGATGATCTCAGCCCACCGACGACACTGTATCAAAACAGGGGCTGCTTACGGTCACGACTGTTTGTGAGGCTTGGCAGCAAACACCGATGCCCGTTACCCTCGGAACACAGCGGTGACAGCTCAGAGACAGGTCACAGTCGGGGAGGGGCGCCGTGTCTCCCAAGTGCTTTGAATTGAACCATGCCATGCGTTCTTGGTTGACTGGAAGTGCAGAGCGGGTCCCCTTTCCCTGGAGCCCGAGCACCGAGCAGAGGGACTGTGGGCCCATCACACGAGAGCGTTGTGGAGGACGTGCCTTGCCTCGGGACACCTTTGCCCCAGTCTCTGATAGAAGGCGCCAATCACAGCCACGGGGGCCATGGTGACTCTGCTCCTTCTTCCACGCACCAGCAGGAAGGGGGAGCCTGTCGCCCTCCCGTCGGCATGCCTTCATGACCCGTTAGCCGTAGCCGTCTGACTCATTGGGTGTCCTGCCGCGTGGGTCTTCCTGGGTGTCTCACGCCCGGTGTGCGCTCTGCTCTCATGCAGGATACAGCAAGGAAGGCTTCCTGACCCTACAGCACGCGCTGGACAAGGCCATCATGCGGCACCACGCCCACAATGCCACCGCCCAGATGTTCCAGGATCTCACGGTGCTGGTGAAGCAGTTCCCCCACAGAGCCCACATCCAGGACACGTTCTTGCTGGTCCTGCAGAGCGAGTTCCCTCTCCTGCTCACGCTCAGCTTCCTCTGCCTCGAGCTCATCATCATCAATTCCGCGGCCCGGGAGAAGGAGAAGAGGCTGAAGGTCACCGGGCCGGCGTGGGACACAAGCCTCCGCCGGGACCGGGAGGGGCGGGAGCGCGAGTGAGAAATGACCAGAGCGGGGTGAGGCCAAGGCAGGGCAGAGGTTGCCGAGGCCTCAGAGGGGCCTCCAAAGGGAGCTGGGAGGGGGACGGTCTTCCGTCCTTGGACCCGCTCGTCACTGAGGTGACCCCATCTGTTGTGACGATGTGAGCCCTTGCTTTGGGGCTCGGGCGGGGGCCCCGATGGGGAGGGGCTTGCTGAGGGGCTCCCTGAGAAACGCACAGGAGGGGAGTGACCCCCCCGGGAGCAGCTTGCTGTTTTGCTGCTGCGGCTAGGAGCCCTCTGCCGGGAGGCCCCGCCAGGCACAGGGCTGCTCCCGCCAGTTTCCCTGCCGTCCTCGTTCCCGTGACTTCTGTCCTCACCGTTCGCTCTTTGGAGGCCATCGACCTTCTTACTCTCTAATTTTCTTCCCCTTTGACTGATTCTTGTGACTATGTCTAGACCTAGCCTCCCGGGACCTTGCCCAGCTGCACCCGCCGTGGCCAGTTTGCTCCGCGTGCTGGCGCACAGAGCGTGCTCTAGACCGAGGCTGGCTGGGCAGGAGCTGTGGGCATCTCGGCCGAACGCTTGAGGCCGCTGGCTCTTCTGCTTTCCGCAGGAGTACATGTGCATGATGGGGGCGAGCAGCCGGCAGCACTGGGCCGCTTGGTTCCTCACGTTCTTCATCTCTGCCCTCTTCGCCGTCTCTCTCATGACCGTCCTCTTCTGCACGCAGGTATGCGTCTCCGGGCCCCGGGAGGTGCTCAGCAGTGCAGAGGGGGGCCGGGGGTGTGTGCTGAGACTCCCGGCGAGCACACAGCTAGCAGTACCACAGCTTGGTGGGGCTCAGGCGCGGAACGTGCACCGCCCGGGAGAGCCTGGCCTTCCTTCGCTCCCGGGTCTGCGAGGGCTGGCCACGGGCATGGTTAGTTTCATTAGGAAAGTGGAATTCCGAGAGATGTATTTCAGAAACTTTAAGACATGGCACATTTTGCACTCTACGGAGAGTTGAAAACAGTTCTTGGAAGAGATGAGGACGTCTCTCAGGCCCCTGCTGCCTTGTTAAATTTTCCTTCCATGCTGCTGTTGAAGTTCGGGGTTCCGATTTGCTAACTTCCATTCAAGGACTAAATTATCATCCCCCACGTGGATGTATGAAAATCTACCTTCTAAATTACCAAAGTTGGGGCCCTTCGGGTAAGGGAAGGCAGGAAAACCCAGACCACACAGCACAACACGTAAAACAAAGAAAATGGCCAGAATGTGTCAAAAAGAGGACAGAGCCGTAAGCTGCCAAAAGGAATACGGTAGTCCTCTGTCACAGTGACCGTGACCGATGCGATACACTCCCGCATGACAGCAAGAGATTCACCCTGCATTCAGACTGGTGCCTTCTTTAAAGAAAGGTGCATGGACAAGGCATCATCTGTAAATGATCATGGACACCGGACCAAAGTCTGCCTCAAAAAAAATTGGCTTGTGTTGTTTAATTAGGATCATCTCGTGCGTTTTCTGTGTGTGTTTAATTCCTGCCTTGTTAACGGGTATTTCGTGCCTTCTCCTCATTCCCTCCATGTAAAAACGGCATGCGCCTGTGGCTGCCTCGCAGGTGAACGGTGTGACGGTGTTCAGAAACAGCGACCCTAGGTTGATATTCGTTTTTCTACTGTGCTTTGCCACGGCCACCATTTCCTTTGCGTTCATGATCAGCACATTCTTTCAAAAAGGTGAGCCCCGACGCCGCTGGCTGTCAGAGAGGGTGTTCATGACTTCTGTTTCTGGTGGCGCTGCTCTTTGGGTCACCCACGGCATGAATTATCGTGCCTCCAAAGCCAGGTTGTCACCTCCGAAGTTACTGTAGCAATGGGCTAATTCCATGCCCCGTCAAAGGCTTAGGGAACCAGCTCGTGTAAGTATGTTTTTCTGCTGTTTGGCTTCTCAATGTCGTTTCAGAGGGATGCAAATGGTTAAGTCCCATGTTGGATGGAGATGATGGGTAAGGCGACAGTGCCGATGGTTTCCAGGTCTTGGTTGTGACTTGGGCTCAAAGGTAGGGTAGCTTCCAGGACACCATACTAAGAACGGAATTCCTGGGACTTCGGTCCTGTCAGGAGGGGTGTTACCTCTAAAATTACTGGGAGAATCAGGGGCGGCTGGGTGGCTCAGTGGGTTAAAGCCTCTGCCTTCGGCTCAGGTCGTGATCCTAGGGTCCTGGGATCGAGCCCCGCATCGGGCTCTCTGCTCAGTGGGGAGCCTGCTTCCTCCTCTCTCTCTGCCTGCCTCTCTGCCTGCCAAATAAATAAAATCTTTAAAATAAAATAAAATAAAATAATTGGGAGAATCAGTGAACTACTAGGGACACAAATAACAGGAAATGGGGTCGAAGTCAGAGTGTGGTAGAATTCCAATAGAGAGGCAGAGGTAAAAACATTCATGGAGGGTGGGTCCAGCAGCTGGTGACAGAAAGAGGGCTTACGAGAACTTGGGCAAAAATAAAAATAAAAATATGTTATAAATGAAGCCAGGCAGTTTACTTTTGACATCTGTGAATATCTTACATCAAACATCACATTGTAATATTCTAATATGTGGGTCCTGGCAAATACCGACTCCGCCAAGACGGGAGTGTGTTCCTTGGGAGGCTGACTGCGCCTGGACGCTGTCTCCTGATTCGAACTCTATCCTGAGTCCCCCCACCCCATCCCGCAGTAGCTCCAGGGTGAGCATGGCCGGAGTGGGGGGTCCAGCAAGAGAATTATGTGGGGACCTTGGAGCACGAGTATCAAAGGGTGCTTCAAAGTTAAGGCTAACATGGTGCTGAAAACGAAAACCCAAAATATTGAACTTGTGGTCAAGCACAAGAAGGAAGCAGATGTCCGGAAAGAAAAGGCAAAACCAAAGAGGTCAGATGCACAGCAAAGCAAGACCAGACTAGAGAGCAAATAGCAGGAAGAGTCGCAAGAGGAAGCAGGAATGTAGCGCAGCTGCAGAGTTCGCGATCGACTGATTTTTGATGAAGGGGCCAGGACAATTCAGCAGGGCAGGTTTAGTTTTTTCAACAAAGAGCACTGGACCAGCTGCGTGTGTACATACACAAGGATGACATTGGACCTCTGCCTCACACAGTACATAATAATTAACTCAAAGTTGCTTATAAACCCAAAGATAAGAGCTAAAACTACAAAACCTTTAAAAGAAAGTTCAGCCATGAATCTTTGTGATCTTGGGTTAGACGGTGTTTTCTCAGACATGACACCAGCAGCGTTAAGTCATAAGGAAGAGGCTCGATAAATTGGACTAAATCAATATTAAAAACTTTTGTATTTCAAAGGATACCATCAAGAAAGTGGAAAGATAACCCACAGAATAAATGAAAGAAAACTTACAACTGAAAAATAAGAACACAGATATTCCAGACTCATTCTGTAGGACACCATTATCTGGATACCCAAACCGGGAAAGACAGCAGACCAATAAAACTACACACCAGTATTCCTTATAAAGAAAGATGTAAAAGTCCTCAACAAAATACTGGCAAACTAAACCAACAGCATAGTTAAATGATTACACACCATGCCAAGGGGGATTTATACCAAGGATACAAGGATAATCACCACTGTATTTTAAGTATACTCGAATTAAAATAAAAAGCTTAATAAAAAAAAGAATAATTCAACATATGAAAAACAATATATGTAACACACTACTTTGGATGCAGGAAAAAATAAACACAATTTTATTCACTTTTATTTGTCTCAAATGGTACTGAAGAAGCATGGGACAAAATCCATTGCTTTTCATGATAAAAACACTTAACAGACTAGAATATAAAGGAATTATCTCGACCGATAGTGAGCATTCACAAAAACCCTATCGCTAACCTCAGATTCAATGCCGAACAACTGGAAGCGTTCCCCATGAGATCGGGAAAAAGGTAAGATGACCACTCTCCCCTCTGCCGCTCAACAATGTGCTGGAAGTTCCAGGCAGAGCAATTAAGAATGAAACAGAAAAGGCAGCTGGAGAGGAAGAAGCCAAACTCTCTCCATGCAAACATGACACGATCTTATATAGAGAAAACCCTTAAGAATCCACAATAGCAACTTTTAGAGCCATTAAATAAGTTCAGCAAGCTTAAAGGCTACAGATGAACACGCAGAAAACCGTTGTGTTTCTAGATACTAGCAAGCAGTGAATGCTCCAAAAAGGAAATCGAGAAAACAATTAAAATTAAAATCAAATTAAAACTGAAACTTAAAACACCTCCCCAAATATCTGTGATTTATAATGGGGCCCCAGGAAATGCCTCCCTGGCGATCTCTGAAGGATGCTAGCGCTGCCACCCAGGACTGCGCCCACCGCCAGGCTGCCGGTGGAAAGGTGTCTCCCCACTCCCACCTGCTGCCTCCAGACCACGCCTCTGCCCTCCCTGCTCAGAGCACTCAGCCCCTTTGACCAGGAGGGTGTCATCCGACTAGACCACACTCCTTCTTACCCAGGACTCTGCTGCTGCCTGTCCCCTTCCGCGTTCGCTGGAGTGCTTCATTCTCTAAACCTCAGCCTTGCCAGTAACGCCTTGCTCCAAACACCTCATTCTTGGCCCCCCATCTCCCTGTTTAGCTTCTTCCCTCTTGCACCCGCCCCTCCCAGTAATTCTTTGACCCCCATCGAGACACCTGATCATCGCCCCTAACGCTGCTCCACTAGCCGTCACCCCACCGTGTGCCTGGCCGGCTTCCCTAGCCGCTCCGATCCTGGGGCCCATCACAACTTTGACTCCTTAAACTTACACCTGTCGACTGTCCCCTGCACCTACACCTGAGCAGGGGAACTTGGCTGGAGAAAAACTCTCCCCTGGGCGGACTGGTTTCCGGGTCTCAGTGAGGTCCTCTGGGCTTGCAACCCACCCACGTCCCCTGGTCAGTTTGCCTCACACCACTCTGAGACAGCACTTTGGAACCTCTTCTCGACCCTGCAATGGACCGCAGCCTTTCTCCCCTCCGCACCGAGGCTGACAGCTGTGCTGGCCTCACGGGGCTCTCTGTGTGGACCCTGACCTTGAGCAAGTCCACGCAGACGGTGCATCCGCTTCCCCCTCTGGGAAACGGGAAAGCCACAGTACTTGTGACTCTGTTATAGGATTAAATGGGATATTACAGGGAAAGTGCTGAGAACAGTACTTGGTACAGAGCGAAAGCTTAATAAATATTAGCAGTTCTTAAGGCCTGTTACAAACGGAGAACCTGAAACTCAGAGACGTCGACAAGATCCAAGGTCAGCCATGGTTCATAAAGCCGGCTTCGGGCAGGGCCGCCTGGAGCCTCAACAGGGCTCTTTCTTTTTTTCTTTTTTTTTTTTTTTTAAAGATTTTATTTATTTATTTGGGAGAGAGACAGTGAGAGAGAGCATGAGCGAGGAGAAGGTCAGAGGGAGAAGCAGACTCCCCATGGAGCTGGGAGCCCAACGCGGGACTCGATCCCGGCAGCCCGGGATCATGACCTGAGCCGAAGGCAGTCGTCCAACCAACTGAGCCACCCAGGCGTCCCAACAGGGCTCTTTCCTTCGTGGATGTCATCCTCACCTCCCCGGCTCCTGCGCTCTCCACTTCCTGGGAGCTGAATGTCGGCATCGCACCCGAGCTCGTCTCCCAGCCTGCGGTCGGCCTGGCTCATCTCCCAGTCCGGAGGGCCGTGCTCACAGCCGGGAAAACCCCGAGACCCTGACCGTGCTTCCCTTGCTGCACAACCCTGCACAGACATACTTACTGTGGCTGAGCCTCCGTTTCCTCCTCTCCGACAGCCCCTTACAGAGCATGAAGGCTCTGTAAGGGGCTGTCGGTAGGGTGCTGGGCTGGCGGCTGCGGCGTGGGCCACCATCTGTGCAGGGAGGGCTCAAGCTGTAGGAGACTCTCTCCATGCTGTCTGCGGCAGTCACAGACCTGTGCCCTTACGGATCCATGCCTGCCGGCTAGTGCCGCAGATGCCCTTAGCCTTTCCATAGTGGGAGCACAGACTCCGTAAAAGGCTGCTTCCCTTCTGGGACGCCGAGGCCCCCGCAGATCCTCCCCCCCACCCCGTCCCCACGGTGGGTGGTAGGACACGGTTCACGCCACGCGGCTCTCGGTGATTTGCGAGCCCAGCTAAAGCCAGTAACGACTTTGCAACTACAAGCCGATGTAGCTGCATGGAAAAGACAGAGTTGAGTCGGTGAGCACGTTAGAACTTTGCAGATAACGGAGGGCCATTCGCAGACGCCACGTTCCTGGCGCACAGACTTGGGGGCGGCCCGGGGGCCTCGCAAGCTCCACTTTGGGAAGCGCACCCCCACGGGCTCGCGTGTCCTACCTTCCGGAGGCGGGAGAATTCCTCAGAATGCCGACGGCCACCGCAGAAGCTGGCAGCGAACACATCCAAACCGAGGGCCCGCTGGGCTCAGGAGGCTTTCCCGGTGGAACCGGCGCCCGACTCGGCAGCAGGAACCGCCCGTGGACACTGTAGCAAGCGACTTCACGGCGACCTCACAGCTCAGCCTTGGCTTCTATCTCGAGTTCTGGTTCTAGACGCTACGGCTTGGTTTAGGGACAGGCAGCAGGGATGGGAGTTCTAGGTTGGGTCTGGTTTGTGTGTCTTCTTACTGCAACAGGGATAATTTCCAATGACCTAGAACCACCTACCAATTTACTTCTCTGTTAAACAGGGTGGTCTCAATGGGTTAAGGGTGTGAAGGGTTAAGGGTGTGAAGCTGACCAGAATTTATTGCTGGTGAGTGGCTGTCCTTAAGAAAACACTGATGAGGCCACACTTCCGGAATGAGCAGGGGGGCGGTTAGAATTCATAAGGTCTCTGTGACTCCTCCTATGTTAGGGAGTGGATAGGGGAACTTTATGGGGACTTTCTGTTGACAGCTGAGATTCTCTTCTCCTCGCTGGCTTTCTTGAAGGGGAGCCAGGGAGTCTGTCCCCGCACCCGCACCCCAACCCCTCATAAACGAGAGAGCCTTGGGGAAGGTGCTGTGGTGCTGACCACATCGTGGAGGAGAACCCAGGAGAAATTTGCCCCTGAGAATCTGGCGGGGCTGCAGCCTGGGGTCACCCCACGAGGGCCGTCCAGGGACCCTCAAGCGGGGACGCGATTTCCGGGGGTCCCGGGAGGACAGAGCCCCCACTCCGGTGCCTGGCAGAAGCACTTTCATCCCCATCACGGCGAATCCTCCCAGACGCGTTCTCCAGGGCAAAATGCAACACAGTAGAAAGCAATTAAAAACCCAAGGCAGTAAGCCACTGTAGGTGAAAGCCAGCAGAAAAGTCCCCACGTTTCGGAATTACCAAGGCTCAGATTGTTAAGACAGCAACGCTCAGTAAACGTTCTTCTCTAAAGGCCGTGTTTGCGTGTACTGGGTGGGCTCGCGGTGCCTTTGAAACCGCCAAGAGAGGGTTATGACCTGGAACTGGGTTAGAAGAAACCACACAGGAGGCAGCAGAGAGGACCAAAAAGATGCGAAAATGTGCACGAGAGCTGAGAAAGCATTCAGAGAAGAGTGGGGAGGGCTTGCCCCCATTTAAGCAGAGGTCCCGCAGGAAACGAGAGAAGGGGGCAGAAGAAATGCTTCTGAAGAGACAGAGCCCAGATCCGTCCCCAAACTGGACGTCAGGAGGCCCGGCAAATCCCAGACAAGAATACGAAGAAGACGTCTACATGGGACATGCCAGCGTATGAGAGAGCACAGCAGGCGGCAGGAGGAAAACCTTACAAGAAGCCGGAGGAACGGAAAGGCGAACGAAAGTGCTTTTCAACGGGAGCCGAAGCCAGTGGTTCGCCCTGAGAGAGACGCCTTCAGTTTTTGTTGTGTTTTGAACAGGTGAGATTAAAATACATAAGAGGGGCTCTTTGAGGGGGTAATGTCAGAACCTAGAGGGCATAAATACTTTCCAGGAGGAGAGGAAAGATAATTTACTTCAGGCTTGGCTACGCGGAGCCAATCACGTTAATTCAGTACTGAGCCAACGGAAGACTAGAAGCGTCGGATAGAGAAAGGAGTAAGCAGGAGATTGGCTGAGTCCCGAAGCAGACTTCAGGCCCCTGCCCACCTCCACTGCGGGGAGGCTGAGACGTCGGGGAGCAGGACGGGCTGGCGCACGGCAGTCTGGATGCAACGGATGGGGGCAGGGCAACGGAAATGGGAAATACTTTGGTTTTCATGGGGGTATTTTTGTTTTGTTGGTTTTTTGCTCTGAAAGAGGACTGAGTGTCTACAGCAAAAGCGGGAGAAGCCTATGGCGTTGAGAGCTCCTGCGGAAGTGAGACGTAGGACCGTAGCGGGGGTGGGGAAGGACTGGGAAGACCCCGCGAATGGGCCTCGCGCCACGTCATTTGATGACACAGTCTGGTTAAAGACGAATAATGTAGAGCCTACAACGATACTGAAAAAAAAAAAATTTTAGAAGTATAAATAATATACCAACGTTGGAAATGACATGGAATCGTGAAGACCGGAGGAGCAAGGAGAAAAGGGGGTGGAAGAGAAAGGTTTGGAACAAATAGTCATGAGCTGGCGAGAGGCGAGTTGTGTGGCATGTGAGTGGTGCAGGGAGAACAGGTACAGGGAGACTGTCAGCTCGGACAAGCGGCAGGAGCGGGCCAGAGGCTGCCTGCAGACATCTGGCCAGGGGCGGGGGGGGGGGGGGGGGGGTGGGGCGTGCGCTCTGGGGATTTCTGGGGCGACTGACCCCCCGGTGTGGGTCAGGTCCCACGGATACTTCCCTTGGATTGCTTGTTAAAGCTCTGTTTTGTGATTCTTTGGTCACACAGTCACAGTCAATACCTAAAGTTGACCGGCGATCCCATGTCTGCCGAGGTGGGGAAGGAGCCTTGCCCCTCTGCCCTCTGTACCCTGCAGATCTGCACTGAGTAGGGATGGACCTCTTGGGAGCCAAGTGTGCCCCGTGGCCATTGCAGCCTTGGAACCCGTCCTGAGTCGTGTGAGATCTGATTGGTGGCCAGCGAACGGCGACACTCTGGGAAGTCATGTCGATGCACCGGTCATGGGAATGGGATCCCCGTGGGTCTCTGGCCCCTGATCCCCCTCACCAGCGGGTTTGGAAACGCAGCCTCCGCGGGGCCTCCCAACCCCCAACACACCTGACTGGAACTGAATCCCCAGGCGCTCAGCAAGCACTGGCGACCAGGGACCCGGCCCATCTGTGCGCTCGCCCCCCCTCGAGTCTCTCCTGCTGTGTTGGCGGTTCCACCACGAGCCTGCCAGGTGGCAGCAGACGCTCCGTATCTCGGAGGCTCAAAAGGAGAAGCTTCGTCAGCTGGCACTTAGATTTGGCACTTGGCATCACACAGATCACTCCCCACCCCTGGCGTCCTGGAACCAGTTCTGAGCCCTTCCTCCGTCCCTTCCCTGTTCCGGGAGTAGGTGTGCATGAGGCCCTGCGCGGACGGTGAATGAACAGTACGGGGCCAGATTCAGAGCGCAGAGCGGGAGCCCCTGTGATCACGGTTGGCACCAGACGCTTGCTCCCGGGACGCTGGTCCCCGGGGCTGGGCCGGTAATCCACACAGGGGGAATGAGAACGCAAGCTTGCAGGGTAAGGAGGTAACTACCCTGACCTCACTTGGAGAGAGAATTAGCCCAGCAAGACAACAGGCCACCAGGGGCAGACGCATGGAGAACCCCCTTCTTGGCCCAAGGAAACCACTAGCACTTTTGGCAATCCTGAAAGTGGCTTATCTCACTGGAGAGCCCATGACGCTCGCTTTCCCATTCCCTGTGCCCATCCCTTGACTCCCAGGCAGTGCAGTCCTGCCAGCAGCCTGGTTGCCAGCGGTATGGGGGGGAGCAGTTGGCTTCCGTGCAGTGACGTCGTCCTTCCTTTGGCTCAGGCACGGGTATGCGGTGGAAAACTATCGGCAGCGTGAGCGGGGAGTTTAACTTCTGCCAGTGTTGCTGCTGCTGCTGCTGGACGCTGTCCTGTATAGCGTGGTGGCCTGGTATGTGGAGGCCGTCCTCCTGGGCGAGTATGGTGTCCCTAAGCCGTGGTACTTCTTTGTCATGGTGAGTACCGGTGCTGCTGTTCCATAGGCCACGTTAGACCTTTTCACAAGCCCCCACCCCGTACCCTCAGCCATCTCAGCGGTGTCCTGATGGAAATCTCCAATCCCAGGGAATCTAAGCCAGATTCTCGAGCCTGGATTCACCCCAAACCTACCAGCTGTGGTCGCCAAGGGACCGTGATGAACGCATCTCAGTGTCTCTGACGTTTGCCCCCGCGGGTGTCCCATGCAGAGTCCCCTTACAGGCGTGTCTGCGATGTCCTGGTGTGCCCACCCCCGTGTCAGGCCCCGAAAGTCTGCACGGGACACCACCGCCTCCCTTCCCCCTTTCTTGGCGACCCCAACAACTTCTCAGAGTCACTGTGTCCTTACAAAGTGGGGTCACCTGCGGGTGCAGTGTTCCCACAGCCCCACCAGTGGGCCTGTCCACGGTCTTTGAAGGGGGTGACCCCGTCTGGGGCACTGCGTGGCTGCCTGCTGGCCCTTGCAGGAGTGTCCACCCCAGGATTTCCCCAGGCTCAGCCAGGGAGGCTGTCAGCCGACATGACGGCTTCCCCAGCTCGCTGGGAGCCTGGGAGCGGTGCACCCACTGTCGCTCGCCCCAACCTCGGGACCATGAGCTGTGGGCGAAAATGCAGCTTACCGGTAGTGAGTCCACGAGCAGGTTGCTTGGCTTCTCTGGGCACCGTTAAATGCTGGATACCAGGAAAGGTGGGGGATGGGGGCGGGCAGTGTGCAGAATTTAATTTACCATACTATTTATCTTCCCGGAGACGACAGTTGATTCACCCGAACAGGCTCATGTCAGTTGACTTTCTGTCCAGCCGTCACACTGGCGCGGACAGTCCGTGCCCCTCACATGGTCCGTGCTCGACATTGGGGGACCCCAGCAAACCTGCGGAAAGCAAGTTCTTTCAGGAAGAGCCCACCAGTTTGGTGAAGGGGATTGAAATCCAGCATCTCTACAAGGTATCAGCGCATGACCCTCCCTCCTAGAATTGACGAATAGTTTGTAGAGGCTTGTGTTTAATTCTGACGGTGGTTACGAGGTTTGTTCTCTGGTAGAGGTGGGATTTCCTCCTGTGACGTTGTCCTCAGGAAAGGAATCGAATATGAAATGTCTCCTGTTTGCTGTCGTGCAGTGGAGTGGAGGAGGGTGGAGGGTCTCGGTGGCATCTCTTGAAACACTCTCCCCAGCCCCACCGCACCAGCGCGGTTGCCCAGGGACACCCTGGAGCTCAGCCCCTCACTGGCTCACGCTGTTCCTCCATGGTTCACACACCCGGTCGCTGGGTGCCCTGGCTCTCGGGACGGGCTTCCAGATGGGGTGTGTTTGTCTGTCACCAGCGTTCGCTGGGCCTTTCCTGCATGCAGAGCCCCGCGTGACCAGGCGCTCCTGGGACAAGATGCCTAGACATTGGCCCTGTGCCCCCACACGTCCCACAAAGCACCATTTTCTCCTTCGGCATCTTCTGTTCTTCAAATGCGATGAGCGCAGGGAGAGGCGGTGTCCTTGTCACGCTTCGTGCCGCCTTCCTCTGCCTGTGGGAGCAGGAGTGAGCCAGGGAGGGGGGGCGGGGTGCTGTCCCATCGTAGCCCAGGGGACTCACAACACAGGGGATGGCTCCAGCTCCTTCACGCATGGCAGTAGCGGGAACAGCCAGGCACGAGTGCGGCTTCCGAGAGCAGGGATCTCCCCTCTGCTCGCAAAACAGGCTGTCTGCATACACGTGGTTCTGGCATGATTTCCCAGGGGCTTGCCACGTCACGCGAGGCAAGGTGTGGCTCGAGAAGCAGGGAGAACACTCCCTGCCAAGCTCCAAACCCTGCCTCCTCAAGCCCTGGCCTCTGTGGCGTGGGTGTCGGGGAGAACCCCCGGCATGGCATCCCCGTCAGGCTCCCCGGCAGCCCCGGGCAGCTACACCCCGAAAGAAGGACTCCCGTCCACATTCCCACTTGGATTCCCACTGACGGACTGGCTTCCCTGGGACTTGATGTGGGTCGTAGATACTTCAGGAATGCCCCGGGCCCGTTAGGGAGTCGGTCACACACTGACTCTTCCACAGGTGTATGACATGGGACGGGACAGCCACAGAGTGGTCAAAGATCTGACCATGAACCTGTACCAGGGGCAGATCACCGTCCTCCTGGGACACAGCGGAGCCGGCAAAACCACCCTGTGCTGCATGTTGGCAGGTACCCGGGCCGGGCCAGCCCCTCAAGGAATGGAGCCTTCCACCTGCCCCGAGTGCCTCCATCGGCCCTCCTCAGAGCTCACCAATGTGTAATATGAAGCACTCGCTGTTTCCTTGTTTTACCATCTGTAGTGTGTCTGGTGGCTCACGTGACCCCGTACTCGGGAGAGGGCATCGGTGGCTCTTCCCGTCTGGGGAAGTAGGTCTCATACACGGTCAAGGGGCTGGCACACGGCTCTGTGCGTCTCTTCCCACAAGGAGAGGCCCAGGCAGAGAGAGCTTCTCAGACTCCCCGCTGGGCGCGGCCCTGAGACAATGACCTGGGCTGGAACCAAAAGCTGGACCCACTGAGCCAGCCAGGCGCCCCGAATCTGCTTAGGTTGACGTAGAGGAAGGAGATACATGGGAAAGAAGGCCAAGTCCTCTCACAAGTTCATACTTCGGGAACACCACAAACCACTGACTAACTAATTAGCATGCATTGGATAAATGAAGAGCGTGTATTCGTAACAGTGAAATCTTATTAGCCTGCCCAAATTATGGAGATTACGTGGATGTGGAGAAATGACCTCAACAGACCATTTTGTGGAAAAGTCAGTTAAAAAATCAGAATTTATATTTTCCCGTGTTTGCTAAGAACTTTAATGCATGAGGGACGCCTGGGGGGCTCAGTCGGTGAAGCGTTCTAGCGAACCCCATTTCCGCAGTATCGCCTAGCTCATACGACAGTGTAATTTGCTTTCCGTGCGCCCATGTGTTTATTCCCTAGCCGGACAGGCACTCCTCAGAGGCAGGAGGGATGTCTCCGTCTCTGTTCCTGCCACACGTCCTCATTCAGGGTCACAGAACACACAGTCCATGGAGGTCACTGACCGTGACAAGGAGTGAGGCCATCTGATGCGAGCACTGGGCATCTGTGAGCCGCGGGGCTGCAGGGTGCTCTGCAGGAACATCACCTTGGCATATTTCTTGTACTTGCTCCTAGGTCTTATTCCCCCTTCAGGTGGATGGGCCTATGTCAAGGGGTATGAAATTTCTCGCGATATGGCTGAGATCCGGAGGAGCCTGGGCTGGTGCCCCCAGCACGATATCTTGTTCCCAGACCTCACCGTAGACGAGCATCTTTCTTTCTATGCTCAGGTGTGTCCACGGACGGCGGGCTGTGTTTCCTCTGCGTCCGATCTGGAGGAGGGGCAGCCTGCAGCCTTCCGACCCAGCAGGCCCTGAAAACTCCCTGGACGCGAGTCCCTAAACATTCAGGAAGGGGCCGGGGGCATGGGGTACGGTCTGACTACAGAGGATACAAATCGGGACCAGCGAAGAAGAGAGACATGCAGGGTGAGGTCTGGGCCCGTGTCCGTCCTGCTGGGATGTGGCTATGCACCCGGTAGCTCACTTAACCAGCAAGTGTCCAGTTTCTCTCGGAGCTTCATCACACAGGCCCGAAAGGTCCAATCCTGGGGCACACCTCCCCACTCCCAGCAGGTCTGGAGTCAACGCATTAGCATAAACTCCGATGTGGCCCCAGGGTACGAGGTGAATAACCAGGACGCCCATCACTCCAAGGATTTAGAGGTCCCTCCCAGTAGCTGGGGACAGAGGCCGGCCAGACTCTTCATTACGCAACACAGATCTTTCATCGGTTGAGGCTCCCTGGGACACCTCCCGTTTGGTCGTGATGTGCGATCCTTTAATGTGCCGCACTCAGTGTGGATGAGACGGATGTTCATGCGGTTCAAAATGCAAAAAGCCTTTTGCGCATCCCTTTCCCCAAAGGTGGTAAGCCTCTTGTGCCGAGTTTACGTATATGCTAGCAAAGTGCTGGCTGGACTGGTGGGCGTCTACCGGGGAGGTAGGGAGGGACATGAGGCCACCAGGTGCTGCTCGTGGAAGGAAGGGGACGACACCGAGGCCAGGCTCCTCACGGACTGGACAGGCCAGCACCCCTGTCCCGCGGGAGCCCCTGCCGGACCTCTCCGTCCGCGCTCTCGCAGCTGAAGGGCTTGTCCCGTCGGAAGTGCCCCGAGGAAGTCCAGCAGACGCTGCATGTGCTCGGCCTGGAGGACAAGCAGGACACCCTGAGCAGGTTCCTGAGCAGGGGCATGAGGCGCAAGCTCTCCATCGGGATCGCCCTCATAGCGGGCTCCAAGGTAGGCGGGCGGGAGGCCGTGCACGGGGGCGGCCGCTTGGGGCCTCGGGCCCCAGCCTCCACGCGGCTTGGGCTGCCTGTGGCCCCCGGACGCCGGCAGAGCGGCCCGGCCAGCGTGGGGACAGCCACATCTTCCCAAACTGGAGCCTCACGGGGCCTCCTGCATAGCCGGCCCCGGCCCTCGACCCTGCTCTGCCCCCACCCCCAGCGGCCGCCGCTCTGCCCGCAGGTGCTGATGCTGGACGAGCCCACCTCGGGCATGGACGCCCTCTCCAGGAGGGCCATCTGGGACCTCCTGCAGCAGCACAAGAGCGACCGCACCGTGCTGCTGACCACGCACTTCATGGACGAGGCTGACCTGCTGGGGGACCGCGTGGCCATCATGGCCAAGGGGGAGCTGCAGTGCTGCGGGTCCTCGATGTTCCTCAAGCGGAAGTACGGTGAGCGGTGTGGGCGGGCGGGCCGGCGGCCTCCCTTCCCCAGGGGCCCTGGCCCTGACCCGGGGACAGTTTGCTTCCCCGGAGGGCCCCCGAGACAGGAGCGGGGAGAGAGGTGCAGACAGTCCCGAGTCAGGAGATCGAGGTCTGAGCTTCACTCTGCCGGTTCGTAGCCTCCATCCACGTGGCCAGGACGACCTCAGCCTTCCCTGTCTGATCTAGAAAACGGACCTCAAAAACCGGGTTCCTCAAGGAGTGAGCAGTGTGTGCAGAGCGCCTGGGCAGGTGTGGGTGGTTTCCACGGCAGCCCTCTTGTTCTTCTGGACCCCACGCCCTCCAGGTCTCTGTTGCTCGTGGCGTGGACGTGCCTCTGCCCACGCCCTGATGTCATTGTGTCTCCTGTGCTGGAACTTGTGTGTGTCCAGGCGTGCACCTGGAGCCTACTCCGCAGCTGCGTGGACGCCGACCAGCTCTGTGGGGCTCGTCCAAACCCTAAGCAGACCGGGGGCCCCTGCTCTCAGCGACAACACCCACCGCCCCAGCACAGATAGCTCCTTTCTCGTGGAAGCTTGGCCAAAACCTTGGAGGCTCCCTGACCGCTCCATCTCTCAGAGCCCAGATCTCATTGGTCTGCAGGCCCCGGGGGGCCTTCCTTTCTCCTACCTCCATGCCTGGCTAGCGCCCTGGCCTGTCGTCCGTCCCCTCCCGGATTACCGCACTCTCCGGCCAACTCACCCCCCGCCTCTGCTCGGTTGTCTGAAGGACTGTGTTACCCTTCTGCTTGGCTCCACAGTGATCTTCCCTCCCACCAAGAGAAAGTCAGAGTCCTAGGATTGGCCCGCAGGGCCTTGCTTGGCCTGGTCCCATCACCCAGTGGCGTTTCCCGTGCTTTTCCAGTCCCCTGCTGTGCTCCTACCCTCGGTCCCACCGGCCAAAGCAGCATGCCTTGCCGGCTCCGTCCCCGGCCAGCGCTGGCCACACTTAGGCCTCATGACCCTGTTTAGAATCACACTCCTCGACCCCCCAAATCCCCTCCCATGTTTATCTTTCTCCTCAGCGCATGTCACTGATAATAATCTATAGATTTTCCCCATTTCTCTTATTGTCTGCCTCACGCCCTTTTAATGAGAGCCCGGGAGAGCCTCGAGAGCGACTTCCTTGGGGTTTCCATCCAGCCCCCCAGGGCCCCCCCGCCCCGCTCCACTTTCCTGCGGAGCTGTGCATTCTGAGCCACGGGAAAGGAGTGAGGGTGCTTCAGGGTCTCCGAAATGTTTCAGGCGGCGGATATTATATGACTTTGGTGAAGAAACCTCACTGCAACACAGAGAAGATCTGCCGTCTGATTTATCACCATATCCCAAACGCGGCTTTGCAGTCCAGCAAGGGAGAAGAATTAACATTCATTCTTCCTAAAAAGGACACACACAGGTGCGGACCCCAGAGGACGGGAGGAGCTGTTTGCGGGGATGGAGTTCAGAGCCACCTCTCTGCCCGTCTCCCCAGCGAGGGCTCTCTATTCTGCTGGGGTCTGGACCCCCCCAGGCCTTGGGCATCTGCTGGGAAGACAGCACACTCCAGCCAGATCACACTCGAAAACACGGGGCTCTGGTCATATCTCCTCCCTCCTTCAAAACCCTCGATGGCTCCCAGTAGCCTTCAGGTTAAAGTCAGAAGCGCTTTATTGGGTGGCGGAGCTCAGATGAATGTTCGGCCCGATTTTCTTTATTTCGGGCTTCAGAGTGGTCTCTGGCACCCCCCACCGGCTCCTCTCCCTCGCCTTGTTCTCCAGCAGGAACCTGAGCTCTGGGAAGATGAGAGCCGCCGATGGGAAGTCCCCTTCACTCCCATCACAAGTTTCTTTCTTCCTCCCATCTTTACAACCAAGGACACGGCCTCTTCCTCCCAGAGGCTCACCCTTCAGCCCCAGCTCCAGATCTTCCCATCCTCAATTCTCAAAAGCCCAAGTGCTTGACTCGCCCTGCTCACCTACACTGTCAGTTTGTCTCTCTACTGGGTCCCTTACTTCTGGGAGCACCCCAGCCCCTGGCACCCACAGCCACACTTTGTCTCCATGATTCGGGCTGCTCTCAGCTCCTGTTACTAGTGACATCAGGAAGCATTTGTCCTTTTGTGACTGGCTTAGACTGCTGAGCATAAAGTACTCAAGGTTCAGTGCACAATTTCCTTCCTTTTTAAGGCTGCATCTCACATCTCACATCTCACGCGCGCTGTGTTTATCCGTTCATCTGTGCACACTTGGGCTGCCACGCTTGAGCTACCGTGAATAATGCTGTTATGAACACGGTGTACAAGTATCTTTTCAGACTCTGCTTTGGATTCTTTGGGGTATATTTACATAGAAGGAGGGGTGCTGGGCCATTTTGCATTCCCTCCCACAGCACACAAGAATTCCAGTTTCTCTGCAGCTCCCCAGTACCTGCTGTGTTCTGTTCTGTTTTATTAGCAGTAACCGACCTAAGGAGTGTGAGGCGGTGACTCGTTGTCATTTCGCTTCACATCTCCCTAATGATGGTGATGTCGAGCATCTTCTCGTGTGCTTACTGGCTATTCACAGGTCTTCTTTGGAGCAATGTCTATTATGCATTTTTTAAAAAATACTTATATTTATTAAGTCATCTCTGCCCCCAAGGTGGGGCTCAAACTCAGGACCCTGAGATCAAGAGTTGCACGCGTCTCTGACTGAGCCGGCCGGGTGCCCCTCACGTCCTTTGCCCATTTCTGATCCAACCTGTTTTCTATTGTTCTGAAGTTGTAGGACTTCTCTCTATATTATGGATATTAGTCCTTTATCAGATACAGAATTTGCAAATACTTTCTCCCATTCAATGGGTTGCCTTTTTACTCCAAGGACAGTGTTTCCTGATGCGCAGAATTTTTAAATTTAATGAAGTCCAACGTGTATATTTTTTCTTTTGTTACTGTGCCCTTGGTGTCACGTCCAAAGAAATCATTGCCAGATCCCATGTTGTGAAGCTTTTGTGTGACTTTTGTGTGATTCTCTCATTTTGTTTTTTTGCAACACTTTTTTTGTTGTTGTTGTTATTAAGGGTCTCTTGGGATGCCATATGAATTTTAGGATGGGTTTTTCTATTTCTGCAAAAAAAAAAAAAAAATCATTGCTCTCTTGGTAGGACCTGTACTAACTGTGGAATGCTCGGGCTAACACTGGCGTTTGAATAGCATTACGTCTTCCGGTCCATGAACACGGGATGTGTTTCCATGGATTTCCCTCTTCTTTACTTTCCTTCAGCGGTGTTTGACAGCTTTCATTCTACAAGTCTTTCACTTCCTTGATTAAGTTAATCCCTAAGTATTTTATTGTTGGATGCGATGGTAAGTGGGGTTGTTTCTGTAGTTTCCTTTTCAGATTTGTTCATTGTACTTAGAAATGCAGCTGATTCCTGTGTGTTGACTTTACATCCTGCTCCTTTGCTGAATTTACTTATTGGTTCTCACAGCTTCTTTGTGGCGTCTTTATAGAGTTTTCTGCATATAAGATCATGTCATCTGCAAACAGATCATTTTACTTCTTCCTCTCCAATTTGGATGCCTTTTATTTCTTTCTCTTGCCTAATGACTCTGACTCTAACTTCCAGTGCCAGGCACCTTAGACGGAGCCTGCCAGTGAGTCCGCTGTGTCGGTGAGGAGGCGGATTCCGGGTCCTTCCCACACTAATCCCTGCCTCACCGGTACGCTCTCAGCCATGAGCCAGGCTCCTCATCACATAGCAGAAGAGTTAAATTACCACTTGATTATGAAAAGATACCTAGAAAAGCCACACAGAAGCTGAACACCACACTTCTGAATAGCTTATGGGTCAAAAAGGAATTACAGAGAGTTTTTTTGAGTTGGACAGCGATGAAAACACAACAGACTCGAAATGTTCATATGCTGCTACCGCGGTGCCCAGAGGGAAACATACAGCTTTGAAACACTACATTAGGAAAGAAGAAAGCCTTAAAACCTACGACCTGTGCTTCCAGCTGAGGGAGGGAGAAAAAGCAGAAGTGAAGAGTACAGAGAAGAAAAGAAATAATAAATTTGAAGAGAGCAAATGATGGAATTAGAAACAACAACAACAAAAATTGAGAAGACTAAAGTAGCCAGACGTTGTTTATTACAAATATTAATAACAGTGATGAGACCCTGCCAAAGCCATTAAAGAAAAGAAGAAATACAAGAACCAGCATCAGGAATGAGTGGACCATTTCTCAGCCCAAGCACAGACTTAGGACAACTACATGAGAAAATACCACAAATACACTGGACACTGTAGAATGGGCTGATTCCTTGAAAAACACAACCTACTCAAACGGACACAAAGTAAAAGAGAAAAATCTAAGAACCACGCATCTACCGACAAAATCAAATCTGCGATGACAAACGTTACCGAAAAGAGAATTGCAGGTCGCATCAGTTGCTAGGACAATAAATCTCCCCAATCTTTCAGAAAATACAGAAGGGAGCAGCACACTCTGATACCAATACCAACATCTAGAACACAAAGTTTTTAGCCAAATAAGAGCCACTGAATGGACTTACCTGGAATTCCAGGATGGCTTGGCCCCTAGGTCTGGGGTCTCGGTGGGATTTCTGGAAGGCTGAGCCCAGCCAGAACCCCTGATCAGAGAGCATCTCCAAGTCCTCCAGGGCATGGCGGCTTCATGGTGACCCAGGGCTCCTGGAGAAGCCGCCCAAAGCCTGCCCAACCCCCTCTGACCCAAACCCTATCCCTTCTGTCTAAAGTCAACCAACAGGGGAACCAACGATCAAACTAGTATACTGCTTTTGTTGAACATCCCTCCACGATGAATGAGAAGAAACTATTAAGGCGTGCACTGGTGTGGTTGAACCTCAGAAACATGTCGCCCAGATGAAATGAGATACAGAGATACAAGGCACCTCTGACAGTAGGAGTCCGGACGCTGGTTGTGTGTGGACGGGAGAGGAATCACTTGAAGGGGGTGGGAGAGCGCTCTGCAGGGTGAGGGAAAGGTCTGCCTCTCGGCTGGGGTGAGAACAAGGCATTTCCCGATAGGTAAACCTTGCTGCAAGACAGCTGCATTGATGGGCATGATTTCAGTCCCGGGAGACTGAAAGGCAAGGCAGCGTGCCCTGTGAGGGTCTGACCACTGAACTCACAGCACAGGCGGGCTGCTCTGCCACGGTCCTTGCATTTAGCTCCCTCAGGGCGCGAGGTCGTGTCTGTCACCCCAATGAGGGTAGAGGGATGAGATAAAAGAACCAGCTCAGAGTCACACAACCCTTAAGGGGCAGACACTGGCCTCAAATGCAGCCCCCAACAGTGCGCAGCTCACACTCTCACCCACCGCGCGGTCCATGGTGGTCCATGGTGCGGCCTCTCTGGGGCATCCCACGTGCCCACAGGTTTCTTAAAGGCACGTTGTTGGTCTGGACACCGGGCTTGAAGGAGCAGAAGCCCACACCGTAGGAGATTGTGGATTTCTTAATATCGCACAAAAAGTCCCGATCCCTTCAGCTCCAAACTATGGAAGGCATGCATAAGGAAGGGCTCGAGATTAGTAGGGTTAAGCATTAGCTCCTTTCCTCATTTAGTGGAACAACAGGGCGGGGAAAGAGCACTCTCAGTCTTTTGAGCCGGCCTCTGAGTTTGCCTCCGGCTCTGGCTACATCCGGCTGTGTGATCTTGGGGAAGTTATTTAACCTTTCAGAGCTGTCTTCGAAGAGCTGAAGAGCTGTTGAGACAGTAGACCGAGCTGGTGAGGCGGAATAGGGCTTGGAATGCCCCCGGCATTTAGTAAGCGCTCCAAAAACAGCAGGACAGAGATGAATTATTTATGAGCTGGGTGTGAGAGTGATCGTCCCAGACACTCTGGGATAAAAGCTGTCACCCTCGCTGCTCACGTTCAGCGTCCTGGAGCTGGGGGGTGACAAGGCTGAGCTCTGAACAAAGATGGTCTTGACTCCCCAGCCCCTACGGTTTGCCCTGTGGGAAGCCCGGGGTGACAGGGAGGAGGCCCCCTTCCACCTATGAGGAATGGAACCGCCCTTCCCTCGCAGGTTTGCATCTCTCTTCACCGAGCTGGAAGCGAGGTGGGAGGAGCTGGGGGTCGCCAGCTTCGGAGCTGCGGTCACCACCATGGAGGAGGTCTTCATGCGGTAAGCAAGGCTGCAGCCGCAACCCCCAAGGCTCTCACAGTGGGAGGGGTCCTGAGGGTCCTGCATCTGACCCCTGTCCCGCGCTTGGCTTCTCCGGGGCACGCCCTCGCCCTTGCAGGGTGGCCCGCCAGCCTCCCATGGGGACTTCCAGAAATAGGGATACTGCCCAGCAAGGATGTGCTGGATACATTGTATCACCTTCCAGGAGGGAAAAACAAACCAAACAGACATTGTATCACCTGGGACGCTGTTTAGTCAATGAGGAAGGCTTATTACCTCCACCCGAGGGCTTGTGGAAGCACAGAGCTCTGTGAGCGTCAGGAAGCAGGGAGGCGGCTTCCTTCGAGGAGGGTGGGGATGGGCTGCTCTCCCTGATTCACCCCAAAGGCCAAACAAGGCTAGAGAGTGACGATCAGATGCGGGAATATGTGTCTGTTATGTGCAACACTCAGGTAGTTTACAAATGCTACTGATGATACATTAAAATGTATATTTTCTTTTATATTTTCCACCAGTCTATGTGGCTTTTTCTCTCCCTTTTTGGGGGTTCTTTTTCCTCAGTCTATAGTTTCTTCCCCCACGCTAGTGGGGAATTCTGCGTTCTTTTTTTTTTTAATTTAAAAAAAAATTTTTTTTATAAACATATAATATATTTTTATCCCCGGGGGTACAGGTCTGTGAATCGCCAGGTATATATACACAATGGAATACTATGCAGCCATCAAAAGAAATGAAATCTTGCCATTTGCGACGACGTGGATGGAACTAGAGGGTATCATGCTTAGCGAAATAAGTCAATCGGAGAAAGACAACTATCATATGATCTCCCTGATATGAGGGAGAGGAGATGCAACATGGGGGGTTAAGGGGGTAGGAGAAGAGTAAATGAAACAAGTTGGGGTTGGGAGGGAGACAAACCATAAGGAATTCTGCGTTCTTACTGTACTACCTTAGCGGTCGGCGTAGATACTGAAACACATCTCTGTGATTTGTCAAGGCGCTGAGTGAGGTCATATCTTTGCTCTGCTCCTGGAAAACCTGAGACCATGGGACAGGCACGCATCCTGCCGTCACCAACTTGTATGGACTGTATATTTTAATCCTTTTTTCAACTCCACAAAACTGTAGTATTCTTGTTTGAGAACAGCAGTGGCCTTAAACCCTTCTCCCGGTTCATTCCTCTTCCATCTCTGATAACTGTCCTCCTGCCCACAGGACATTCTGCATGGTACCCGTTAGCGTTTTTATCCAGGAGCCAAACACACTAGTGTTTTTTTGGTGTTGGGGGTCTTTGGGGTTTTTCGTTTTTGGGTATTTTGGGGGCAGGGGTCTGGAAATGATTTTAGTTCTCTAATTTTTAAAGGATATTGTCACCAGATTGAAAGTTATTTGCCAGGGCACCTGGGTGGCTCAGTTGTTTGAGCGTCTGCCTTGAGCTTGGGGTGTGATCTTGGGGTCCTGGGATCGAGCCCCATACCAGGCTGCCTGCTTGGTGGGGAGTCTGCTTCTCCCTCTGCCTTTCCCCAGCCGTACTCGCCCACTCATGCTCTCTCTCACTCTCATTCTCAAATAAATCTTGCAAAAAAAGAAAGAAAGTTATTCCCAGACTATTTCCGAGTCTCCACTCTTGCTGCTGAAAGTGAGCCGTAGGTTTACCCCGTGCTCCTTTGAAAGAAATCTGGCCACTCTTCGCTTCAGAAGTCATGCACGTTACCCATGGTCTGTCTTGGTTCAGTTTTCTTTTTAATTACCGTCCTGGACATCTGATGGACTTCCGGCCCCAGTGCAATGCCTTTCCTGAGTTCCACAGCGCCCAGTGTGTCCGCTGCTCTCCGTTCTCTCACCGTGGGACAGGGGTTAGATCTTCTCATTCTCGGTGCTCTGTTAGTTTTCTCTTCTTTTTCACCTTTTCCAGCCCTCCGCCTGCCGGAGCCGCATGCCGGATAATATCCCCCGACGTGTCACCCAGGTTGCCTCTTCTCCCTCCAGCTCTGTCTGATCCTCAGTTCAATGCCTCCTCTGAGTTCTCTTAAACAATTACATTTTTATCGAAGTATAACAGACGTACCAAAAGGGGCACAAATATCGACCCTAAGGTTCCATACGAGTCCTTTGTCAGGCCCGTTTTCCGCCCCGCCTGAGGGTTCTCTCTTCCTGTTCTCAGAGCCCACCCTTGCGTCACGGAGTCATTCTGCTATGTGTTCTTCTGGGAACGGGACCATTTCAGCTTCCGCGTTAGCTTTGCGGCCCACGTGGTACTAACTTTTGTGTGCAGTGACAAGAGGCTGAGGTTCATTCTCCTGCACGTGGGTATCCAGGCTCGAGGGACAATTTGGGGAAGAGACGTTCTTCCACACCAAATTGTTTGGATGCCTTCACCGAAAATCAGTCGACGTGTATGTCAATTTCTACATCCCCTACCCTGTCCCATGGAACTCGCTGCTGTCCCACGCCAGCCAGTCCCACGCCACTGTGATCGCTGTAGCTTAGTGGTACGTCTTGAAGTCAGGGAGCAGATGGTTTCTCCAGGTCTATTTTTTGAAGATTGTTTTGACCATTATAGGTTGTTTGTGTTAACATGTAAATTTAAATATAAACTCATCAGTTTCTATTTTTGGGGGAAAAAAAAAAAGAACTTGCTGGAAAACTGGTCCGTCGGTTGCAGCTGGTAATAGCACGTGAACGCAAGCTGTTCGCAATAGGGAAAACGGGGAGGGGGGGAGCAGGCGTAGAATAAATAAAAGGGAACTCAGTGCTTTCTGCTTGGTTTTTCTATAACGTAAAAGTTTCTAGACTGTAAAGTCTATTCTTTTTTACCTGAGTCTATTTTTTTTTTTTTTACCTGCTGGGTATATGATACGAGTGGTACTAAGTGAACCTACAGATTAATCTGGGGCTCACGGACAGCTACCTCAAACACTCACCCTCCCAATCCACAGCTATTACACACGGCTTCGTTGATTTGGGAGGTCATCGCTAATTTTTTTATCCTCCCTGTTTTGCAGTTTCCAGAAGTTCTGCGTATCTTTTGTGAAACTGACTCCTACGTATTTCGTAGTTTTTGAAAGTTTGGAAATGGATTTCTGAATTTCATTTCCAATCACTTGTAGCAGATCTAGAAATCATTTTTGCATTCTCTACACCTGGAGATATTATTTAACTCCCTTATTCAAACAGTTAGGGGTGGATTTCCTTAGTATTTTGTGTGTAACCGTCATGTGTAAAGACGGTGCTGCTTCTTATTTTCCAAGTCTTTACGTCTCCACTTGCTTATCTCACAGTAGGGGCTGGAACACAACCGGCCCACTGCGAGCTGAGAGGCAGGTCGGCCTCTCCTGGGGAGGGGAATACATAGCAATACAAATTTCCCTCTGAGCTGCACTTGCCTGTGTCTCAGCTTTTTGGCTATGTAGTATTTTCTTTACCATTCGGTTAGAATTCTGCTTATTTTCCCATGTGCTTTCTGCTCTGACTGGTGGCTTGCTCAGAACTGTGTTTCTTAATTTCCAAATTCAGGGAGATAGTTTTTAAAAACCGTTTTCTTGTTTGGTCTTGCCTTGTTTGTCTTGTTAACGCACTTGATTTCGGCCGCATTTCACTCTGGTCCTAGCATACACTCCGGTAGCCTCCGTCCTTCAAAATGCTCCCGTCTGTGGCTCAGCTTACAACATGCGTTCTTCAGTGGCTGGGCGCGGTGTCTTGTGCACAACCAAAGGTCCAGTGGGTTAATTGTTGTGTACGAATCTTCAGTGTCTTTAAAAAAAAAATTTATCTAGGGGCACCTGGATGGCTCAGTCGCTAAACCGTCCGACTCTAGGTTTCAGCTTGAGGTCATGATCTTGGCGTCATGAGATCGACCCCGCATCAGACTCCACGCTCAGCAGGGAGTCTGCTCAACCCTCTTTCTCTCCCCTCTGCTCTTCACGCTGCTCTCTGTCAAATAAATAAATAAAATCTTTTTAAAAAATATTTTATTTATTTATTTGACAGAGAAATCACAAGTAGGCAGAGACAGGCAGAGAGAGGAGGAAGCAGGCCCCCTGCTGAGCAGAGAGCCCAATGTAGGGCTCGATCCCAGGACCCTGAGATCATGACCTGAGCGGAAGGCAGAGGCTTAACCCACTGAGTCACCCAGGCGCCCCTCAAATAAATAAATAAAATCTTCAAAAAAGAAAAAAAGCTACAACTTAAAAAAAAAAGTGAGGCACTAGGTGCAGGTCACCATCTAGGGGAGGAGATTAGCATAAGCGACAGAAACAAAAATAAACAAGTAGGATGGTATCAAAGTAAAACGTTTCTACACCGTGTGCACACCCCAGCCCCCACGACAGAACACTATTCACCATCAAAAAGAAGGAAAATCCTACTGGGTGCATTGACACAGATGGACCCTGAGGGCATCGTGCACCATGAAATAAATCAGACAGAAAAACAAGTCCTGTATGGTCTCACTTCCGTGAGGAATCTCAAAATCACACAGACAGACAACCTCCTGGAAGCCAAGAAAAGCTGTGTGGTCGCCGGAGGTGGGGGGGTGAGGGGGGATTTGGGGGGGGATCAGGCAAAGAGGGTCACAGGGCACAGACCTGCAGTTCCACAGCGAGTAAGTTCTGGGCGTGTCACGTACAGCCAGGCGACTGCAGTTAAGGGTCCTCTATTGTATATCTGACAGGTTTTAAGAGAGCAGATCGAAAAAGCTCTCACCACAAGCAAAAGCTATTATAACTACATGAGGCGACGGACCTGTCCACAGTGTATACGTACCCCGGAAACTTCTAAGCACATATATCACTTGTATCTCAATAAAACTGGGGGAGGAGGGCAGAGAGCAGACACCAGGAGGCAGAGATTTGAGGGACGAGCTGGATCCCGTCTACGCAGGGCGGAAGCCTCCGAGAAGCTCGCACTCTGGTGTCTGAGGAATGCGCGATGAGGTGCTCGCAGAGATCCCACCATAGAAAACCCCCCTCCCTCCCTCTGGAAATTCAGTCTTAATAAGCGACACTCTTATTTTTGTAAATAGGAAAAAAAAATTCTACTAGCAGAAACCATATGAAGAGGAAAAATGTAAAAATACGACCTTACGCCATGAAATATCAAAGAAAACACTGTGGCGAAGTGCCCCGTGGTGTCCCCTCTCCCCACACACCCACCGCAGGTGGCAGATGACGTCCTGACGAGAGGCCCCGCAAATCCCCGGGGTCGTCACTAATACCCCCTGCGTGTAGAAACGCTAAAGAACGGACAAGCACAACGCCTGGAAAAGTCATGGAGGAACCGTCGACGGGAGAAGCAGAGCCCAGCAAAAGGCAGGGAGGGCCTCCGGGGCGCACCGTCGGTGGGAGCAAGACCCAGGGGCTCGCTCCAGCCTCGCCCCCTAACCGTAAGCACGGCTGACCCTTAAAAGCAGCAAGTTTGCAGAACTGACTGGGTGACTCGTAGGCAAGGTCACCAAAGTGTCCGGGAGCCCTGCTCGCTAGCTCTCTCAGCCTTCCAGAGGTTTGCTGGAGTTGGCTCACATTGGCTCACGAGAGCCAGTTATTAAATTATCGAGAATTGTGTGAGCCAGTGAAACAGAGCAATTATTAAAAATTAAATTGCTCATGCTTATAAATAAGTCATGGTAAAAACAGGGGTACAATTGTGATATCCATTCTGGTGTGTGTTGTTTTTTTTCCACACCACCAAGCAATGAACTCTATCCTGATACTTCCTACCTGGATGAATGGCGTCAGATCCCCAGGTGAGGGGGTCAGGCCGGCAAGACTGCCCCCCACCCCCAACTCTGGACCCTAGTCCCACTCAGGTGGTCACCTGCGCTTCTGACCCAACCAGCTACACACCGGACGTCCCCACAACCCCTTTCCGATTCATTTGCTAGAACGGCTCATGGAGCTCAGAGAAACACTCTCACAGTTAGCAGGTCATTATGAAGGATATGCCTCCGGATCCAGATGAACACGGACACAGGGAAAGGGTCCGAAGCGTCCACGTGCTCTGAGAACGCGACGGTCCCCACACCTCCACGTGCTCACCAACTGGAAAGCCTCTGAGTCCTGCCCACTCGGGTTTTTGTGGAGGCTTCCGGACATGTGCACGGTGGATGGATTACGTCGCTGGCCGCTGGTGCTTAAACTCGATCTCCAGCCCCTGTCGCCTCCCAGGAGGTTCGGACGTGGGCTTGAAAACTGCAACTTTGCCATGAAGTGGATGGTTCCCCAGGCAACCGGCCCCCATCCTCAGTCGCTTTCTGAAAGTCCTGTCATTCACATGACAAAACACACCTTAACCGCTGTCTCCTCTTGGGAAGTTGGAAGTGTTTGAGGAGCTCAGTGCCAGGACCAGAATGAAGACCAAATATCTATTTCTCATCACAAACCACAGTGTCACAAACGGTAACACACAGACTTCACCTCCTCCTGCTCTGGCTGTGTCCTACTGTTACCGGTGCTCGTGGGTTGTCTACACTGACTCGTGTCTGTGCGACGGGCGTATCTGTCAACAGTTTGAAGTCGACCACAGTGAGACCGTCTACACCACAGAACTCGGTACACGCTGTAAATCAGGGTTTAGTTGATTGTCTAGACTTAGAAAGTCATGGAGAAAACATGAATAACGCAAAGGAAGTTTGAAAACGTCTCCCATAGGCAGCCATCTCATTAAGAAGAGCACAAAACGTGAGGAACTATCCTTCCAGTATTAAAAAAAAGTAGTGTTCAACTCAACGGGAGTGCTGCTCACTCCCTCCCCCCGGGGATGAATGAGTGAATTTCTGACACACGTCTTTGTTATCTCACATGTACCCTGATCGTTAATGTTAATTAGAACCGACATTCTTGTCGGAACCCCACTCAGGAGAGCTAGCTGGTAAACCAGCCATGGGAGGGCGCCATCTTGGAAGGGGATCCTCTGGCGTCGGCTGTGCCTTCAGACCACCACATCCCTGGCCCATCGCCCACCATCCCGGATTCCTGACCCACAGAACTGTGGGAGACAATAGACCCCTTCTGTTGTTTTGAGCCACTAAATCTGGGGATAATTGTGCCACCGCCGTAGACACTAACAAACACACCGTCTTTTACCGAACTGTACTAGAGGGAAAATGAGCCACACTGTACTGGACTGTTTTGTTGCGAAAAGTTCCCATTAGAGGAATAACTGACCCAGAGGCTATGAATAAAAATATCTTTCCTGACTTCTTAACAGTTCGTTGCCAGCAATGAAAACGTCTTTTTGCCTTGAGCGGGGTTCAGCCAACTTTTTCTGGCCAGAGAGGAATATTCTAGGCTATGTAGACTCAGGGCATAATCAAGGAGAGTATGTTGGTGCTTTGATAACCATTTAATACGTAACCATTTAAAAATGTGAAACCCATTCTGAGCTCAGAACCAAACAGAAAACAAGGCCTTGGGCTAGATTTGGCCCTGGGCTGTAGTTTGCCCGCCCCGGCCAAAACGGTCAGCAATGCTATGTTTATAACTGACGATTTTTCTCATAAGATAGATATTAAGTGATATTTCATTTTTGCCTTCATTTGCGTAAGGCCGCCTCCGTTCTTTGGAAGTGCCATTGGTCCGTTAACTCAATATTCAGTTAATTCAGCATTACTCGGGGCCTGTTTAAGACTCTCTAGATCCGAACAAACTGACGTGAGTTGTGGTTTTTGTGAATTTGCATTTCTCTTTGTTTCGGCCTGGTTTAGGGTTAACAAGCTGTCAGACAGCAACACAGATGTCCAAGCCCTCAAGATCTCCTCCACGCAGTTCCAACAAAGAGTGTCTGTCAGCGGGATTAAACGCATCCAGTCCCAGATCTTCTCAATGCAGCCGGGCCTGCCCGTCCAGCTGAACACGGGGGTGAGCAAGAATGTCCCACGCACGCAGGAGGGCAGATGAGCGTTCAGTTCTTAGAATCACGCTATTCCTCTGTCAGGAAGTGCAGGTCAACCTTTCACAGGGGTTGAGGGAAAAATGTGCAGATTTCCAGCATAAAAGACAGGCCCCCGCTAGGTTTCAGCAATGCCAGGCTCTCGGCTCTAGTTCAAAGGCAACATCCCAGTGTTTCGTGGCCAGGATTAACCCAACGGAGAAAAGTATCGGAAAAGGTCACGGTAAAGGTCACAGGAAAGGTCTTGGCCCTTCTTCTCACCAAGAAGAAAGAATAAAAGTCTGCTGGCCACAAAAGCATGTTTAATCTTCCTTTTTCCTCTCTCACTGTGAAATAGATCATGTGTTAGATCACTGGGAGTTTAAGATTTTTTTAAGCATCCTTATGAAATACATGGATAACCTATCATGTTCTTTTATTGTTGAAAAAAAAATATGGATGTGCCTCTATAAAATGGTCTCGCTTTGGCCATCCAAAAGGTATGACCTGTGAAATAGTGAGATTGGTTTTCATGGGTTAGGGAAGAGACTGATTCCACTGTTTCATAATCTTGAATCACACGCCATCATCCACGGGGCCTCTGAGTTGGAAAGGGTCTCGGGGTCATGGAGGCCAGCTACCCCCCAGGCTCTTCTCCAGACTCCAGCAAGAGGTTCATCTGGGCTCCGCATGGCCACGCTTTGCTTCTGGAGACTTCCCAGGGAGGGTTTCTCAGGGTACAACCTCAGACACGTGGAGAGCGGTGCCTTTAAAGGAACACTTCCGTTGACTGTGGCCTTCATCGTGTCCAGTGCAGGAAATTTCTGGGTTCCCTGGTAGAGACTTTCAGGAATTCGTCAGTGTTTGGGGCCAGGAACGTAGGAATCCCTGACTCAGACCTGACCACCAAGCCTCTTCCCGCATAGTCTCTAGGTGGACGAGCGGCGGCCCCTCCCCCTGCCTTGGCTCCTGTAGCACCAGCGAGAGGGGTGGGAGCCCACGGTGCTGACCCCCAGCCTCTCCCCCGCCAGGCCCAGCTACTGTCTTGATGCTCAGCGCGCGTGACCACACGCTTCACAATTACCGTCCGGGCCACAGGGAACACGTGCGTGGGTACCCGCGCTATGCGTCACCAGAAGTGGGATTTCGAAGTTAAAAGACTATATGAACATTAAATGAGGTATTCCTCCGGCTAATTTGTTTTCTAAGAAAGTCGTACCAAATTAAAACTCCAGCAGTGGCATTTTCCCCACATCCTCACCAACTGGAAATTTCTGATAATCTGGTAGATTAAAAAAATAATAATAATAAAAATGGCACCATACTTACATTTGCTATCTGTTCAGGCTACTCTTCCAGATCTTTCCAACCTATGACTTCTTTTTCTGCCATCGAATGTCCATCAGATCACTAAGTCAAAGAGTTTTTATTTGAAGCAAGTTCTGAACATCCCCAAGATGTCGGGCCCAGTGTGAGAGAGGGCAACTGGGGGGGGTGCTGGGGGACGCACAGGCCTCCGGTGTCTCCTCTCCACGGCTGCGCTCACGGGTGCCCCACTGCCATTGCAGGCCCGCCTCATCTGCCAGCAGTTCTACGCAATGTTCCTGAAAAGGGTCACGTACTCTTGGCGCAACTGGATGTTGATGGTAACCATGCAGGTCCTGGTGCCGCTGGCGATCACTGATTCAGCCTGGCCTTCCTCAGCTTGGATACGCGCATGGATGAGGTCCCGCTGGAACTGACCCTAAAAACATACGGTCGAACCACCGTCCCCTTCTATATTTCTCCCAATTCCAGGCTGGGTCTTCGGCTTTCGGAATATTTTACAAACATGCTTGAGGCTGAGGAGCAGCTCCCTCTGGAGACCCTGGGTAAGTCCGAGGCTCCAGGGACGGGGCATGCACAGGCTTGCTGCTCCCTGTGGGGATGCCCCATCCTTGGGGGCCACGCAGTGCTCCCTGAAGTCAGACAAACAGCCAGAAGGCTCAGAAAAACATCCTTAAAGCCCTAGATTACAGGAAGGGGAGGATCCCCAGGGATGAAACCAGGTCGTGTCTTTCTGGGGACTGCGGCATGTCCAAAAATGAAGTTGATAAGTTATCTGATGTGTTGGACAAGCCCTGAGAGATTTACATGTCTGTCAAGGGGGTTTGGTGACAAATGTGAGAAGGAAGGTCATGGGGCGCCTGGGTAGCTCGGGTTGTGCCTCTGACTCTTGATTTCGGCTCCGGTCGTCATCTCAGGGTCGTGAGATGGGGCCTCTGGGTGTATAGTCTGCCGGCGATTCTCCTTCTCCCTCTGTCCCTCTCCCTGCTCCCGTGCGCGCGCCCCTTCTCTCTGTCTCTAAAAATAAATAAATCTAAAAGAAAGAAAAGGCAGGACGTTAACTCAGGCAGGGAGGTTGCACAAAAAAGGAAAGAGAACACACCACTTGGTTCAGCTGTGAACGGATTTAACCAACCTTATGCTGGGCTCTAGGGGAGGGCAGGGGCGGGGAGCCTGCAGGGTCAGTGGGTAAGAGAGGAAGGTCCGCGTCTCCACGACGGGGGTCAGTAGGTAAATGTGCGATTTAGCCCTCTGGAGGGGTGCCCCCCCGCGACCAGGCACTGGGGATGCAGGGCAGGCCAGGGCATCGCCCTTTGTCCGTGCGAGTCTTGCATAATTATTTGCTTTTAAAAGTTCTACAGCATGGGACGCCTGGGTGGCTCAGTTGGTTAAGCAGCTGCCTTCGGCTCAGGTCATGATCCCAGCGTCCTGGGATCGAGTCCCACATCGGGCTCCTTGCTTGGCGGGGAGCCTGCTTCTGCCTCTGCCTGCCATTCTGTCTGCCTGTGCTCGCTCTCTCTCCCTCTCTCTCTGACAAATAAATAAAATCTTTAAAAACAACAAAAAAAACCTCTAAAAAAAAAAAAAAGTTCTTCAGCATGAGTTACTTGGACTAGAAGTAAAATCATAAAGTATTCGCTTTTTTCAATCAAGTAAAGAGATCAAAGGCAGAACGTGGTGTAGCACATGGGGAGAAGGAGGAACCTCGCCTCCGCTCCGGCCGAGGGGGCGTCCCGCCAGCAGCACGGTTACCGCTGTGGCTGGGATGGCGGTCCCTTCCGGCGCCGAAGACCCCCAAGTTCCAGGGAGTTCTGTGTGGGTTGTGTGTTTAGGTGGCACCGTGTGCTGAGAGCACAGTGAAGAAGGGTGCTGCTGCCAGCTGGAGCGCGCCCTGGCCAAGAGGTCGGAGGGGAAGTGAGGAAGGGAGCGACAGTTGGGATGATGGCAGCACTGCCAGACGGCGGGGACACAGCTCCGCCTCGGAGCAGGGCTGATTGGCTCCCTGGTCAGAGCCTGAGCTGTGAGCCTGAGCTGACCGGCAGAAGGGGATGAGAACTGCAGAACATTCCAAACCACAAGGAGAGTGTTTGTAAGCGCGGGAAACGGTGGGTCCCCAGGGGCAGAAAGAGCCTGAGGACAGGAGCTGGGTTTGGGCGATGGCTGAGAGCGGCAGCCCGTGTGGGCACTGAGGGCCACCAGCGGTACGGGGACGTGCAGTGAGACCACGCGTAGCCTTCCACGCACACGAGAGGGGCCCAGGGCTGCGTCAAGGCCCTGGGGAGGGCAGGGGAGGGACAGCTGTAATGATGACTAGACTTTTCTGCGTTTTTCCTGCGGCTTCCATCAACGAAAGAGGCTTTAGAGCAGCCCCAGAGCTGTGAGGCCCGGGCAGGGGGTGGTCCCGCAGGCACAGGGGTCCCTGGAAGGGAGGGCGCAGCCGGAGGAGCCACGGGGTCCCAGGGACGAGGTGCGTAGCTCTGGGACACTCCGCCCTCTCGCAGGCTCCGTGGAGGACCTCCTCCTGCGAAAGGCAGAGGAGGAGCCAGAGGTCTTTGATTACAAATACGTTGTGGTGGCTTCCTTTGAGGACTCAGGGAACCACACCACGGTGACGGCACTGTTCAATAACCAGGAGTACCACTCGCCCGCCGTGGCGCGGGCACTCGTGGACAACGTTCTCTTCAAGCTGCTCTCCGGGGCCAGAGCCTCCTTCACAGCCATCAACCACCCTCAGCCCCAGACAGCCCTGGAGGCCTCGGAGGATATCTTGTACCAGTATGTGCCACTGCCCTCCCCCCAGCAAAGCCCCCCCCGACCACGTCCACGGCGGGGCCCCCTTGACCACCGGTCGCTTCGTGTTTGCTTCTTGTTGTAACGACAACTTCTCGCCGTGGAGGATGGCTCCTGTGGGCAGCTCTGCTCAGACCGCCTCCCCCTGTCTGCCCCCGCCCGTGTCCTGCTGCAGGGGCCCGAAGGCACACTTCCTCATCACCAACTTGCTTTTCGGAATAGCGTTCTTGTCCAACTCCTTCTCCATCCTGACAGTGAAAGAGCGGTCCACGAAGGCCAAACACCTCCAGTTCACCAGTGGCCTTTACGTGGCCACTTTCTGGCTCTCTGCGCTACTGTGGGACCTCGTCACCTCCTTTGTCCCCAGCCTGCTGCTGCTGGTGAGGGCTGTGTGGTGCTGGGACCCCTCCCTGCACATCATGGTGGGCTTGTCGTGGGGACCCCGCCAGGGACCGCAAGTCTGGGCCAACAGCTCACCCAGGACGTGATTCCGTCACTGACCCTTGGGGAAAGGTCCCGACACCGTTAGAAGCCGAGGGGCCGGCTCCAGGGTCTCCAATGTGTGCCAAGCCCACAAGTGCACACGCCAGTAAGAGGTAGCACGCTGGGGACCCGTGCTCAGAGCCCGGAAACAGCTCACCATGCGCCGACAGGGCAACCCCTGGATGGTGACACTCTGGGTGGGACAGCCATGTCCGCCTTCGCTCCGCCTGTGCTCTGTAACTGCTGTTGAACTCCTGACCGCACGGTGGGGACATGCCGGGGCAGAGCCCCTCACCTGAGCGGTCAGAGAGGAGGACGCGCGGGGCAGGGGCCACCTGGGCAGCAAACTTACTCTTAAAGTTGGGATCATCGTAGCCTTTCTCTAACCCTTAGCATCAACTCTTAGAGACTCTTCCAAATTCTCCCCTCTCCCCCGAGGTGGTGTTTCTGTACTACAAGGAAGAAGCTTTCGCGCACGAGGGCAACATCCCGGCCGTTCTCTTGGCGCGCACGCTCTACAGCTGGGCCAGCACCCCCTCCGTCGACCTGGCCGGCTTCTGCTTACGCTATGACGGCAGCGCCTTCGTCAAGCTCTTCATCACACTCACCTTCCTGAGCATCTGCCCCAACATTCTCGCCTGGGTCACAAGCCAAAAAGGTGAGGACCGGCCATCGACACATACCTTCCATTCTTCCGCTCACGGTTACAGACGGTGCACCCCCAAACGTTAGGCTGTTCTCAGCAGTGGTCCCTGAAGAGCCCCAAACCGTGTCCCCAGCACACATCTCCAGGGGAGCGGAGAGACGTGGCTACAATCACCTGGTGTGTTATGCGCAGCGGCCGGCAGGGAACCACTTAGCGCACACACGCAGCCGCGTGAATGGACATAGGGCCCCGCTGATAGGACGGATCCGGGTGACGGAGTCAGGAGACCGGTGGCCTCGGGTTTGGGAGACAGGGGCTGCTGAAACAGAGACCCCAGGGAACCTCCTAGACACACTCTCCGTCTTGAATGAAGTGCGGGTTACGTGGTCATAAACGTGTGTCAAAATTCATCACATGGTCCACTTAGGATGAGGCGTTTCATTGAAATGAGTTATTCCTCCATTTTATTTTATTTTATTTATTTTTTTTAAGATTTTATTTATTTATTTGGCAGAGAGAGATTACAAGTAAGCAGAGAGGCAGGCAGAGAGAGAGAGAGGAGGAAGCAGTCTCCCTGCAGAGCAGAGAGCCTGATGCAGGGCTTGATCCCAGGACCCTGAGATCATGACCTGAGCCGAAGGCAGAGGCTTAACCCCCTGAGCCACCCAGGCGCCCCTATTCCTCCATTTTAAAGGAAGGTAGTAAGTCAATCAATAAGCCGAGGCTGGGAGAGGGCCGTTCGGTGAGTGTGTGGTTCGCGGCGGAGCCCCCGGGAGCAAGCCGCCATCCACACTGTGCACCCGGGCTTAGATGTCGTCATGTCTGGCTGCATCTCTCTCTGCGTCGGGCTGGATACACACTCGTTTCTCCCTCTGTGGTCCTCTTCTCCAGGCACTTGGATGCCGTCACCCTCCTTTCAATGGGCCCTTGGGTTTTTGTTGTCTCTACCTGAGAGTATGTGAACAGCTCCCTCTCTTCATCTCAGGAGCCATTCTGTCTCTTGGAGGACTGGCCGTGCCTGTGCCCGCGGCCACCGTGCTGGAGCACGTCTCCCTGGTGGCGGTCTGCATTGTGCCGCACACTGCCGAGTTCCCATGCACGCCACCGGTGGAATTTTGGAGGTGGAACTGTTTTCATCTGAGCAGATCAAAAAAGCAACAGCATTTTGACTTTATGATGGGAACAGAACAAAAAGCACATGGCAGACAGAGGAAGGGGGTTAGCAAAGGCATGTCCTAAGGGAACCCTAACCCCGCTGTCCTCAGCCACAGTGTGCGTCCGAGGTTCACGGGTCTGCGTGCCAAGATGCACCCCAGGCGGTCCCAGCGTGGGCAGGGCACGGAATCCCCTGAGCAGTGCTGCCCTCGTCTCTGGAAAGAACCCGAGGTTTCCTCCCTTCCTCCTCCCCCAAGCTGCCCAAACTCACCCTAGGGAGATAAGCCCCTGCAAGTCCAAGGACACTGAAGGGCCCTGATGGGGGCAGAGCTCTCAGAAAGAATGATCAAGCCAGGGTGCCTGGATCTCTGGACCTTCTCTCTGGATCCCTCCACCTTCCTGGGACCCATTTCTTCTTACCTTGCCCCATGCCCTTTCTTCTCTCCCCTCCTGCACAACAACGAAGACCAAGATCCTTCTCCTGCCACGCAGGAGGCCCTCTCCCCCTTAAAAGTCACGGGGAAAGGAGGCTGGGACAGGGCACGAAGCTCTGGTCTGGAGGGGAGCTCACTGCTTCCTGTGTGCACCCCACCCGCACCTCCTGAGGAAGGACGCCATTAGGACACTTTGGCCTCTGTACACGCGCCCCAGGGGCCTCATTCGGAGGCTGTCGCCATGGCAGCAGAGTCTGGGAAGTAAAGCCACATCTGAACTCTCCTTTTTCTGAGATGCCACTAAAGGAATAGGAAAGGAAATAAAGATGTATGAATTCATGATAAAGAAGCATCCGAAGGGTGCTTTGGGGGCAATGGTGGAGCAAGGACCTACTGAGCACCGCAGAACCCTGGGGAGGCTTGGGAGCCAGAAGCGGGGGGGAGGGGAGGAGGGGCTGCTGGCAGTCTGGGCCTGTTCCTGTCCCCACGTCTCCACCGGGAAGCGCACAACACACAGGCAGGCTCCGGAAGGCAGACAGCCCTCCTCTGGGTGGCCGGAACTTGCTCGCACACAAGACGTACACATTCTGCCGAGTCCCCTGCCTGAAATGTCGCCCGCCCCTGTGCACAAAGCCGGCGATCGCCTCTCGGGGCCTCTTCTGTTTCTGTGGCTAGACAGGCAGAGGTCTCCGAGCACTTGAGGACGGCAGATACAGGAGAGGCAGAGAGCAAAGCAGACTGTCAAAAATGCAACACGGGGAAATGTGGGACACAGAGCCACCACTTCGGAAAACATGGCATCTATTAAACCGTAGAATTCTATGAGGGGGAAAAGAAAAGCAAACAATCTTGAGTGCAAGAAAGAGCTGGCCGCCGACACAAACACTTAGCAGAAGGGGTGGTTGATGAAGCCTGTCGACCTCCCGACATCCCAGAAGGCAGAGCCAAAGACAGGAGGAAGCAGGGAAGGCGGGGACAGGCGCGGGGGGAGGGGCCAGGAGCTGCAGCCGTCCCCTGAGAAGCACGCCGCAAACGGAAAGTGGACTTGAGGAACTCACCACCAATCTCCCAGAGTCGCAAACCAAGTTCAAGGCCGGAGGGATCTGTCAGACGTCCCAAGATGCGGGGAGAGGGGTCCAGACCTAAACCCAGATGCTTCCCAGAGGACAAGTTCTAGACACCGTTCACGGGTCAGCCGAGTGGAAGGGCGGGATGAGGGCAAGTCAAGCCACGCCAAGGGAAACGCGACCCACCATGTCGCCCTCTCCGAAAGTCAACGGAGAGACGTGGCCCAGCAAAGTGAAGGAACAGAGACAAAGAAGGCACAGGACCTGGAGGGAGCGGGTCTGACCTCGGGGTGCGGCGGCGAACAGCCACCATCCGGTGGAGGGTGAGATTCCGAGATTCGAGATTCGAGGGTTTGTGACCTTGCCCCGGCCTTTGAGCGGCTTTGGGGTAGTGGGAGCTGTGAAGATCTGCTTCTTCGGTGAGCAGGTCGCTCGTGGACATCTCTGATTCTGGTTAGGGTGAGCTGGGGAGAAGCAGGTGTCAGCTCTCAGAGTCTAACCACTTCCCGCCTAGGGCCCGCAGACACCGCCGGGTGGACTGTTGGTTCCGACTGGGCTCAAGAATGTTGTTTAGTGGCTGAGCCTTTCTCTGGAGCCCGTGCAGGAGGGGCAAGGCTGCGGTCCTGCCAGTTACCCCCCGACCCCCGGCCCCGCCACCTCAGCTTCCAGGCTAGATTTCCAAAGTTAGAATTCTAAGTAGAGCAGACAAGGAGGGCATGAGCCTCTGGGCTTCCCTCCCGGTCCGGTCTGCCACCTTCCTAGCTGTCCTGCTGCGTTATGGTCTCAGGTGCAGCTCAAGGCCTGATCACAGAACCATGGCCCCCTGGGCCTCGGGGCCCGGATTGCAGCGAGCATGTGGAGCGCCACAGCTCATGCCCCTTGGCTGGGTGGGCCCTGTCTCTGCGGCTGCTTTGGAGTTCTGGCCCAGAACATGTCGGTTGGGAGACCTCATGTCCCAAGGTCAACCCCATGAGGAGTGGCCCCGCTGGCAAGAATTTCACAGGCCGGCACCCAGAAGCTGTACTGCTCTAATCCCAGGTCTGGAGGGTAGAGCCCCCTTCGTGTCACTGGTTCAGCTTCTCCCCTTGGGATCTGTAAGTCCTGAGCCCGTGGGCTCCTCCCCTGAGTTACCCATGGGGGTGGGGCTGTTGTGTGAATTGTCACCAAGTCCAAAATTAGAGCTCCCGTCCCTGACCCTCAGTTCCTCCTTCCTGCTGGGGAGGATGCCCTGGGTGTGGAGGGATGGCAGGGAGCAGCTGGTGCAGGGGGGCGGGGCTCAGGGATGCGGTCCCGTCACCGGCCTGGGGCCCCCGTGCGGCGCACTGCGAATTTATCCTCTAATGAGCGGCTGATGAGCAGAAGTTCTTCTTCCAAAGAACACTTGAGTGTATTGGTTGTAAATAAACGTTTAACATATTTTAAATACACATGCCCTCAATTTCTTGCCCAACAACCTTGTTTGGCATTTCCTCTCTTTGCAATATGACACGAATCTGAAAATTGGCTTCTCTTAACCTCTAAGAGGCCCCAGTTTCTGCATATGTGGTTCATAACCAGCCGATTTACTGCCTTGCTTTTGTGTCTCATAGGACTTGGCTGGTTCTCCTGGCCTTTCCAGGTCCATGGTGAAGCAGAGCATTTGCAAATGACGGCTTTGTCTCCACAGACGATCTAGACGGGGACTGGGTCCTTCTTAGCTCCCATCTGGGGAGGGCGCTTGATTGACCCCACAGCTGGCCCTCCAGACCCTGCTGTCTGGGCCCCGCTCCCTGGGACACCTCATCTCCCTCCCACCTCGGCTCACCTCTTCCGCAGACATCCCATGTGGCAGCCACACTCTTGCTGGTTTTCCCAAACACAGCTATTTGGGATTCATCGGCACAAGCGATCGGAACGGAAGTAAAATGACAGGCTCAGGAAGCACGGCCCAAAGGAAACTGTGTTTGCTTTGGGCATGGAGGGTGAATGAAGTCTCTGGTCCGGGGACCAGGAGAGTGACGTGTGCCAGGGGCTGTGCCCTTTCCTGCCTGAAAGTGAGCAAGTCCTTTCTATCCCCTTCGCAGAGCTGGGCTACGTGACATTGCCGGACTTCTTGGACCGCACGTTCCTATTGCTGCCAGGCCACTGCCTGGGAATGGCCCTCTTCAACTTACACTACAACTACGGAATCCAGAAGCTATGCAAAGCCAGGAACCTGGACCAGCGGGAGTGTAAAAAGTTTGTGAGTATTGCACACGGAAATTCTCCCTTTGGCAGGACACAGCTCACTGGGCTTGGGTATGTTCACAAGGTCGTATGAGCAGGGCCACCATCCAGTTCCACAACATTTCCATGGCCCCCAACAAGAAGCACGATTCCTCCAGTCTTTCCCCCATCGCCCCTCCCCCAGCCCCCGGCTGTCACTAAGCCTGCTCACCATGCCTGTGCACTTGCGTGTTCTGGTCCTTCGTGTCTGCCTGCTCTGGCTTCAAAGTTCACCCATGTAGGAGCTGGTGTCGGAGTCTCATTCCCGTTTCGTGGCGGAATCATAGTCCGTTGTGTGGTTGGACCACGGTTTATCAGTTCATGACGTGAGGGACACGTGGGTTGTTTCTACCTGTTGGTGATTGGGAATGATGCCGCCGTGAGACCGACGTACAAGCTCTCGTGGGAATGTGTTTTCAGTTGTCTCGACTACATACCTTACTTAGGAATGAATCTGTGCTTAGCTTTTCGAGGAACCAGCCAGACTGTCTTCCACAGCAGGTGCACCGTTTCATGTTTTGCCTGCAACGGACAAGGGTTCCAATTTGTCCACATTCTCTCCAACACCTTTTAAACACTTTTTCTTTTTTTCTTTTTTTTTTTTTTTTGCAAAGAAAGAGAGCAAGCAGGAGGAGGAGGGGCAGAGGGAGAGAATCTCAAGGCGACTCCACACTGAGCACAGAGCCCAACATGGGGCCCGATCCAACAACCCCAAGATCACGACCTGAGCTGAAACCAGAAGTCGGATACCCAACTGAGGGAGCCACCCAGGCACCCCTAAAGTACTCATTTTTAAAATTGTGGTAAAATGTATATGAAGTTTACCATTTTAACCATTTTTGATGGTACAGGTCAGTTCCGTTAAGGACAATCACACTGTTGTGCCACCATCTCCAGAATTTTTTTCATCTTGCAAAACCGAAACTGTCCCTGTGAGACACCAACCCCCCGCCCCCCGCCCCTGGCACCCACCACTTCCCTTGGTGTCTGTGACTTCCACGGCTCTAGGGACCTCACAGGAAACCTCCTAATTCCTGTCTCATTTCCTTTTCTGGACACTCTGGAGTTACTATCTTTGTGGTTACCATGGGGATTACATTAACACCCTAACGTTATCACATTCTGATTGGAATTTATATCAGCCTGATTCCAGTAACATAGAAACTGCTCCCATATGGTCATGTCCCCACTCCCCTTCAATCATCATGTTTTGTGCATCCGGAAACGGAGACCAATAATTGTTTTCGTGTATTAGTTTCTTTAGCCGTGGAGAAAACCTCAAGTGGAGTTACAAACCCACCTGACAAGAATACTAGCTTCTGGAATTGTCTGTGTCTTTACCTTTGCCAGGGACCTTCATTATTCCGATCTGTAGGTCCTGGAGAGTCCTTGTCCATCATACATTGTTAAATGAGACTGGTGTGCTGGAGGAAAAAATGCATAGCATCATTCCGTTCATATCTTAAAAGCTCGTGTCTAGAACAGAGAGAAGGGTTACACCCAAATCCTGACAATAGTTTGGAGCAGGGGAGAGGTACCTTTCCGTTGGCCCTCACGCATGTCCCTTCTTTCCGATGAGGGTGTATTTATGGTATAATTCTAAAATACACATATCTAAAGGGAAAACGTGAAGGCAGATGAGATTACAGAGATGGGACTGGAGGCTTCTGGATGTTTCGATGGGACAGGTCAGCCAAAGCAGCAGGTGACTGACAACTGATCAAAGAACCCAACATACAGAAGTCTTGTATTTCGAGCCACTGCCACAGGACTGGGCGAGGTCTCTGATTTCCCAGCATTATTTGCACCGAACGTGGGCTGTAGCAAGAGAAACAGAACACTGCTCATGTTTGCCACCTGCAGGGACGTGGTAAGAGCGCCGATGACGTTCCTGTGTGGTTTCAGTGGCATTTGCTACAGGAGGAAAGGCTGGGACGCCAGCCCGAGTTCGGTAACCTGAGCTTCTTCCCCGTTAGCAGAGGGATACACGGTCCAGGAGAGCATCTACGCCTGGGAGCCTCTTGGGTTGGGGAAGTACCTGACGGCCATGGCCATCATGGGCTTTGTGTACCTTGTCCTGCTCTTCCTCGTTGAAACCGACGTCTTGTGGGGGCTGAAAGCCAGGTTTCCTGACTTCAACAGGAAGCGACTACTGGTGAGTGGATCAGTGTGTAACTTGGGAAGCCTGGGTCCACGGGCTGGCTCCACAGTCCGTGGCTGGGAGTGGCCGTGACTGTCAGCATCGGAGGGAGCCTGGAGACCATCTCATCCACCCCAGGACAGAGGGATGACAGCCCGTGCCTCCCCGGGGACATGGAGGGATAGGGACCTAGAGGACTGGCTTGGCCCCTGTGACCCCGGTCTGCTGAGTAGGACAAGACCCTGGATTTTCTAAGACCAGTCACCTTTTCAGAACACCTCTTCCTCCTGGCCTGCACCCGGTCAGCCAGGAGCCTGGAAGGAGAAGGGTCTGTCTGTCAGTTCTCGGTCTGAATATGGTCCAGAGGCGAAAGCCCCCCAAGGAAATTCTGGAGAAGATTCACTGGTTTTGCCCCGATATCCCCAAGCTTCAAGTCTTTTAATTTTCCTCGAAAGCCAACACCACGTGACATTTCCGTGTCTCGCAGACCCCGGTAGTCCCTGACAGAGGGGTGGTGGTGTGTGCCAGGCCCGCGCTCCCTCTGCCTTCTCCCCCTGCCCTGGCACCAGCAGGGACTCACAACGCCTACCCTGGTCCCCGGAAAGCAGGTGACCATGCACGAGGCAGCGTCCATGCCCGTAGACCAAGACGTGGAACAGGGGGCAAAGATGGTGGAGACGTATTTGGAAAAGCTGCGTGCGGAAAACCCACTGGTTCTTAGAGAAGTGACAAAGGTAGAGTCACAGGCGCGCCTCAAAAAGCAAAGACCATTCTTCCGTGGGCGCTTCGGAAGAAAGCAGCCACCAGGGGGCTCCAGGCGCTGCCGGAGGGGCCTCATGGAGACACATCGGCCCACTGGCCGGGCGGTTTGCCCCCAAAAGTGCCCAAAGCAGGAGTTAGGGCCTGAGTCGTCCAGCGCCTCTCCGGGGGGGGGGGGCCCTGTAAGGCAGGAGGGCCGGAGCCACGAGCCCCCAGAGGCAGGAAGCCTCGGAGACGGACACGACCGGCTGGCCCTCTCTGGGATCTAGAAGGCAGTTTCCAGGGGAGCTCCTGGTGAGGGGCGGGGGCACCCCTAGAGCTCCAGCCAGGCCTGGTCAGTCAGCCGCAGAGCTCCAGCCAGGAGTTCACGGAGACCCTTCGAACATCTGGGAGCTTTGTGGCATTCCCCCAGTCTGTTAAGTTCTTACTCTTTGTTTCCCCAGAGCCACTGGCGGTTCAAACCAGCCAACATCCCAGGCCCCATCAAGGGGTTTTGTTTGCTTGAAGGACTGAAGGGAAGAGGCTTATCCTGGGGAACCAGGCTCTCCGTTTGCAGGGACAGAAGGAGGAGGGCAAACCCCGCAACCCTGCCGGGAGCGGAAGGAAGCCGGGCCCCTCCGAGGGCCTGGGCCCCGAGGGCAGCCGGCACCTGACCCAGGACGGTGTGACAGGAGCAGGGCGGCTCCTCACCACGTGCCTTCTGTCTTGGGTACCTCAGGTCTACATGCAGAAGGTGCCCCTGCTGGCTGTGAGCAAGATCTCCTTCGCGGTTCGAGCAGGAGAGTGCTTCGGGCTTCTAGGCAGCAACGGAGCTGGGAAAACATCCATCTTCAAAATGCTGACCGGGGAAGAGCCCATCACCTCTGGGGACGCCTTTGTTAGGGGCCTCAGCATCAGCTCTCACCTGAGGGAGGTAGGTGGGACACGGGAGCAGGGGAGCACTGGGACGGGGTGGCTGTGTTGGCAGGAGGGGGTGGGGAATCGCACCTGGGCGTGTGACCTCAGGCCTGGGGTACGCGTGGTCTTTGGAAAACCCGCCTGTCGGGTTTACACATGACCCCAGCCCCACGGCCCTACATTTGACCTCTTCTCTGAGCTCGCCACCCACCCTCTCCTGTGTCCACTACTCATAGTCCCGGACGTCCCTCCCACACCTTCCCAGGTCCCAGGTCCTATCTCCTGGCCGCTCGCACTGCGCTCACACCAAGGGTCCTGGAGACGCCCCGCGGGGCTACAACACCAGCCTTCCATCTGTCGGGCTCTACACGGGCTGCCCCCACCTGAGCCCAGTGGTTACTCTGCCCCCCGTCTTCTGCTCGCTGAGGGTGTCCACACAGCCACATCTGCAGCCCGGCCCCAGTCCCAGCCCCGTGAGTGCGCACACGCCTCCTAGACGGCCTAGCTCGGACGTCTTCCTGCTGACACCCGACCTTGTCATGAGCTCCTCAAACCCGACCTTCTTCGTGGGGTCCCCACCTCAGCCACCAGCACTCGCTCCATCACTGCCCGGTAGGCGCCCACACTTGTGCCGACCCAGCAGCCCTCGCCAGCACCAAGCTCTGAGGACGGTGGCCTGGCGGCAGTGCAGGGAGGGGAGAGGGACAGGGCGGGGCCATCGCGGGGAGCCAGTGAAAGGCGCAAGGAGAAACCAAGCCACGGCGGCGCAAGGGAGGATGTACCTACTGTTCACAGCACAAGCCGTCGAGCTGCCAAGGGTTGATGAAGCTGCGATGTCCACAGCTGAAATCACGCTCAGAGAGAAAAGCCCAAGAACCTGCGCTCGCCCCTTCAGCTCTGTCGCGTTCCGTGCCCACAGCCGCGGTGAACAGCCCAAGCCAACGTCAGCCTCGCACGGCCGTGAGACACTCAGATCCAGTTCAGCTCTTTTACGATCCTACACATTCCGGGTGTGCCTTCTGGTGAGGGAAAATTGTGTGGCTCTGACCCCCTTCCTGGCAAGAATGGTAACGTCAGGACCAAATGTGAAAAATGCCTCCAGAGAGGCTTCGGAGAAGACAATGAGGACTTGGGAGGCGGGAGGCAGGATGGGGAGAGGCCCAGGGAGGCGGCCACGTCCAGCCAGGGAGGCTGGGAGCCCAGGACTTCAGGGGAGCACACCCCTTCCTAGAGAGCAGACCCCAAAGGGCTGCGCCCTGGGTGCAGGGAGGAACCACACACAGACGAGCTCCTCCAAGGACCCCAAAACATCCGGGACGCGTGCCCGTCCCTGGAATGGCGCTGACGGGACCCTAAGCCGCCGATGCCCCCAGGCACCTGCTGAGAGCCAGCGTCCGCCTCTGGGGGGGAAATGATACCATCCTTAGCTTCAGATGATTTCTACAAACAACTCTGCAAATGCAATGCTTGGTACACAATAAAATTAACCAGGTATATGTGCATAAAAGACAAAGCCCCCCCTTCAAAAAAATAACTTAGAGCGAAGCCTGGAGAGTCAAAAGGGCAGAAGCTATCTAAGAGAAGGTAAGAACTTTAGGTAGACCTTCGAGACGGCCCCAAGGGGTCCCTGTCCTGACACCAGCACCCCCGAGCAGCCCCTCCCATGCTGGACCAGGGCTGGTCCAGGTGGCAGTAAAATTTGCAGGACAGATGGTGTGTCACATCTGAGACTGGGTTAGGAAGGTACTGCAGCTTCTCTGGGAATACACCCTCCCCCACACATCCCTCATGGTGGGGGAAGCAATCCCTCACCCAGCCTGTGGGGGGGCCCACGCAGAGAGCAGCTGCACCCTAGTCCTGAGACCTGCCCACTGCTACGTGAGCGAGCTCGACAGACAATCCTCCAGGCTCCCAGGGAACGTGGGCCCAGCAGGGGTGCCAAAGGCCACCTTGTGAAGGAACCTGCCCAGGACCACCCAGCCAAGCCATCCCCAGACCCACAAGCTGACCCACAGAAACCACGAAATAATGAACAAACCACAGCTACGTTTTGGTGAAACTTGTTACGCAGCAGCGTACGACAAGTTAATACAGAGGATCTGGGGAAAAGGTCTAATAGTAAAGGTCTAACCGTAACTGAGGTCCCTCAAGGAAAGGGCGCAAAGAAGAGGCGAGGCGGAATTTGAAAAATGAGTGTCTACAATTTTCCAAAACTTATGAAAGTCATTGAATTACAAATAAATAAATCTCTATCAGCCCTAAGCAGGAGAAATTATAAGAAATAAATCTTTAGGAACGTTATAATAAAACTGCTGAAAAATAAACACAGGAAGAAATTTTTTTTGTTTTTTAAGCATTTGAGAGAGAGAGAAAGAGAGAGAGAGCGCGAGCACACGAGCCGGGGGAGCAGCAGGCAGAAAGAGAAGCAGACTCCCTGCTGAGCAAGGAACCTGACATGGGGCTCGATCCCAGCACCCGGGGATCATGACCTGAGCCGAAGGCCCCTTAACGACGGTGATGCCTGCCAGCCACGGGGCGTAAATGGAGTTAAGGGGCCTAGTTCCAGGAACGAGCACCCAGCACTAAATCAAGGACACACGCCGTAGTCTCCGGGGGGACGAGAAGCCAGTACAGGGCACAGCAGGAAAATGAGAACAATTACATGACCGAGGACGAGCAGGCACAAGCAGGAGGAGGAGCCCAGGGCACACAGGACAGGCAGCCCTGAAGAAGCTGGGGGACGGAACTCCCGAAGCATCAGGGAGCGCACTCGGTAGAAACAGACTGAAGAGAGGTGGGAAGACCGTCGGGAAGGTACTCGTGGGCTGGAACCTCAAGTCAGCACAGGGCCCGGCCACAGCGGCAGATTCACAACTCCAGCGTGGGTCAGGAGAGGAGTAGATTTGCAAAACGTGGTCTATCTGTACGATAGGGTGCCATCCAGCCGCGTAAAGGAATGAAGGACGGACACCAGCTACGAGGCGGCTGGACCTGGAACCGGGATGCTCGGTGACAGAAGCCAGTTACGGAAGGCCATGTATCAGGGACGCCTGGCGGGCTCGGTGGGAGGGGCGTGTGCCTCCTGATCTCGGGGTTGGGAGTTCGAGCCCCATGTTGGGTGTAGGTGTTCCTTAAATAAATTTTTTTAAAAGATTTTATTTATTTATTTGAGAGACAGCGAGCTTGCAAATAGGGGGAAAGGCCCACGGCGAGGGAGAAGCAGACTCCTCGCAGAAGACGGAGCCCCATGTGGAGCTCAATCCCAGGACCCTGAGATGATGACCTGAGCTAAAGGCGAGAGTCGGGTGCTCAACTGACTGAGCCACCCAGGAGCCCCTTTTAAATTTTTTTTTAAAAATTTATTTAATGGGCGCCTGGGTGGCTCAGTCGGATAAGCATCTGCCTTCGGCTCAGGTCAGGATCCCTGGGTCCTTGGATGGAGCCCCGCATCAGGCTCCCTGCTCCACGGGGATCCTGCTTCTCCCACTGCCTCTGCCCCACATTGCCCTCGCTCTCCTCCTTGCACACTCTCTTTCTCAAAAATAAATAAATAAATCTTTAAAAACAATTTTTAAATAAAGGCCATATATTATATGATTTGCTTTGGGTGAAACGCCCAAGAGAAGCAAATCTGGAGACCAGTGGTTGCTGGGGGCTGAGGGTATTAGAGACAGTGGGGAGTGAGTGCTAACGGGTATGCGGTTTCTTTGGGGGAAATGAAATGTTCTAGACTTAACTGTGATCACAAAGGCACCCCTCTAAGTATGCTAAAAACCACAGAATTGTATACATTCAATTCGTGAATATGGTGAATTCCATGGCGCGTGAATTGCGTCTCAGTAAAGCTGCTATAAAAGGCAAGGAACGGGGCACCCGGGGGGCTCAGTCAGTTCAGTGCTCGACTCGATTTCAGCTCTGGTCATGGTCTCAAGATCGAGGGATCGAGTCCCACGTCCGGCTCTGCACTCAGCACAAAGTCAGCATGGGATTCTCTCCCTCTTCCTCCCCCGACTCGCACACACGCTCTTTTTTTCTCTCAGATAAGTAAATAAAATCTTTAAAAAGGGAAGGGAGGAATGAACCAAAAAACAAACGAGGAAAGGAAGGGAGAGGAGGAGAAGGGACACAGCAGCTGGTCGTGGACAGATTCTGAACCTGGTCTTACTGTCACCAGCCCTCCAGCCTGCAGACCTTTTCTGAAGCCACACAGAAGTACCAACTTGTTCCATAAACTCAGGGGACTAGAAATTTACATTTCTCTGTGTTATTTAAAATCAAATGGCATCTTCCAGGAAATCGGACGTCGGCCTCCCCACAACCCTTCTTCACATCGCCTCCTGGCATCCGTGTGACCTCACCGTTAGAAATGGGGGATTTATGTCTAGTTCAGCCTGCCCCTCCATCCCTCCTCTTTCTCCTGGAAATCTCACACGGGTTCATCTCATCACCGAACTCCTCGCTCTGCCTCCTTCTCACCACCGTTTAGATGGACAAGCCCTTTCAAGCATTCTTTTGTGTTTTCTAAGCTATATTTTTACCAGGATGCGCTGGTGTTCCCATCCACGGCTTGGACGTGACACGCGTTTCCGTGAGCCATGCTCATCGCCCTGGAATCGTGTGGCTCCACTGAGGGGTTGTCCTTGGCCCATGCTGAACAGTGTCTGTGGCCACCCTAGCCCAGCCCCAGTGTACTACAGGCTCAGGTGTGTAAGAACATTACATTCCTTCATTTTCTTTATATCACATTACATTTTCAAGGCTTCTACCCCAAAACTGTTTCAAGAGATAGAAAACCTATAGAGACCCAAACCAGACGTGAACGGAACTACGGGTCAAAGATCTATGCCTTCTTGGGACTCCTGGGGGGCTTGGTCGGCAAAGCGTTTGCTTTCAGCTCAGACTGTCCCTCAGGGTCCCGGGCTCCAGCCCCACATCAGGCTCCCTGCTCAGTGGGAAGCCCGCTTCTCCCTCTGCCTCTGCTGCTCCCCACCTTCTCAAACAATTAAAATCTTTAAAAACAAAACAAAACAGTCAAAAAACAAAGAAATAAAACCAAAACCAAAAACAACCCTCTACCTTGTTCATGACTAAACAATTTTCAGCAAACTACAAATAGGAGAATCTTCAGGTTAAAATCACCTGATGAGAGCGACCTACCAGAAATGCTCATATCTCGTAGTGTGAGTCGCTTGCCCTCATGTTGCTCCTCGTGGCAGATGTCTTCAGGGGAAGCCCCACGCTCAGCGGTGTGATGTTCCCGGTGCGTTCTCCCTTCGTTCACTCCATCCAGGCGGTCTCCCCGTCTGCGTCCGGTCAGAGCAGTGCACGCCGCCCCCACCAGGGGCACCCAGAGTGGTTCCTTGCTTCGGTGGGGACACAGATGGAAAGAAGAGCATTGGCTCTTTCTCAAGAATGGTATCTTACCACTTTCATCATCTACTCCAGGGGAACCCTTGGCCAGGGGCACGAACAAGGGCACAGTTCAATGCAAGTTTATAAAGCCAAAAACAGGGAAATAACTCACATGTGCCTGAGTTTTTTTAATAAACAGCTAAATAAAATCTAGAAGCCTTCCCTGACTGGCCAAGTAGCAGTTCAACTGAGTTGGATTAGACATGTATATCTTGACTGAGAAAAATCTTTAAGACATAATGTTGAGGGGCGCCTGAGTGGCTCAGTTGGTTGGGCGTCTGCCTTCAGCTCAGGTCATGATCTCAGGGTCCCAGGATCAAGCCCCACGTCAGGCTCCCCGCTCAGAGGGAGCCTATTTCTCCCTCTCCCTCTGCCCCTACCTCCTGCTCACGCTCGCTCTCTCTCTGTCTCAAATGAATAAATAAAATCTTAAAAAAAAAAAAAAAGACATCAGGCTGAGTTAGAAAGGTGATTTGCAGAACGGCAGAGGATAGTGTTTTGGCAAAAACAGACACACAACCGGTCCTCTGCTGGGAGCCAGCCGAAGTTCTAGCAGTCTTCCTGCGAGTGTTCTACAGAGGAAACCTACTTACGGATTACACGTCTAATAGAAAATATTGTTAGCGGGGGGAATACAACACCTTCTACTAACCAGATGCCGTCTTGGTGACAAGAGGCAGGGAGGAGGGGGTGGGCACTGAGGATTCATGCCAGGCAGGCAGGGGGAAGGGCCCCACGTGTGCGCATACACAGACAGTGGCCCGGCCGTGAGCACCCCATCTGGGCTCCCTGATGCCACTGTTGTCCCACTCCCCCCACGTGGCACACGTCCGTGCACACGGCCCATACTCAGAGCAGGGCCGGAGCCTGGCGGGGGCGAGGCCAGGGTGGGTGTCCAGCCCTGCACGCGACTGGCGGCTCTCCTTCTGATGGGTCCCCCTCTTGGGCTGTGCTCCAACCCCAGGTGCGGTCCCAGATCAGCTACTGTCCTCAGTTTGACGCCCTGCTCAACCACATGACGGGCCGGGAGACGCTGGTCTTGTACGCCTGGATCCGGGGCGTCCCTGAGTGCCACATCACTGCCTGCGTGGAACAAATTCTTGATGACTTACTCATGCACGGGAACACGGACAAGCTGGTGAAGACCTACAGGTGAGGCCTCCGCCCCCACCAAAGATAGGTGCTCCCGCTCTCCTCCGTGCAGGCCAAGACCGTGAGCTCCGGGTTTGGGGTGCCTGTGCAGTCCGCGTGCCATAGGGCAGATTTGCGGGAGGTGGCCCCGTCCTGCAGACGCAGGGGTCTGTGGTCTGGGCTGCCCAGAGGCACTGCTCCCACTCCGCCCCGGGGGAAGGTGGGTAGGTGGGTAAGAACAGGTAGCATCACAGGTGTTACCGTCCCGCACGTTCCAGAGGGCCTCGATTTTTGGTAGGCTCGCCCATTACCGTATCTCGCTGTGTCTGGGGCATCTGAGCTGCCGATGTTCAGGTGAGAGACTGAAGGGGTCTTCCTCCCCACTCCGTGGCCACTGATTGGGAACCCAGTGCCCTTATCATCCGAAGCCGGCGGGTCTCAGGACTTCCTCCGGTGTGTGCAGCGCCCCCTGGAGGCTGATGACAGTATCGCACTCCTGGGACAGGGACAGCGGAGAGTCCCAGGGGCCAGTCGCTTGGCTCTTCCCTCCCTGCTGGCTAGGGTTTCAGACAGGTTTTTGTACTTCCCTGCATCTCTTGAAGATTAAACGAGTTAACACTAGCAAAGTTTAGAACGGCCCCCACGCACGTGGTAAATGCCATGTGTTCATTTTTTAAAAGTTCGCTAAAATGGTCCTCTGTCCTTAAGCCCCCAACACCAGAGACCCTCAGAGAAGACTCACAGACCATGTGCTCTCCGCGGACCGACCCCTGTGTCCGGGGCCATGACCTGTATACTGAGTGGACAGCCAAGTCACAGTGCAACCTCACAGGAGGGTGGCGGGCCATGTCACTAAAGCCCCACTCAGGGGCTGTGGGATGCTTTCCCCACAGAGAACAGAAAGCCTGTGTGTGTGTGTGTGTGTGTGTGTGTGTGTGTGTGTGTGTGTGTGTGTGTGTGTGTAGGGCGGGTGGGCTGCTGCTGATTGTTGGTTGCCATTCACCCCAACCTTTCCCTCTCTGCTCCCAGCGGCGGCAACAGGCGGAAGCTGAGCACGGCTGTCGCCCTGCTTGGGGAGCCTTCGGTCATCTTCCTGGACGAGCCATCCACCGGCATGGACCCCGTGGCCCGGCGCCTGCTCTGAGACACCTTGGCCCGGGCCCGCGAGTCCGGCAAGGCCATCGTCATCACCTCCCACAGGTAGAGCCGGAGTCTCCGGGGGTCGGTGGAAGAGGCTGGCTGGGTGGGGCCGGGGGCACAGAAGACCTGTCAGCAGCTGGGTCGGAGCCCCTGAGGAACGTGCCCAGCCTCGCCATGCGGGCCCCTCTCTGAACGTGGGAATCAGGAGCGGTGCGATCTGGCCGTGGACACCGGCCTCTCTGCGGGAGCCTCTGTCACGGAAGGCGGGCGTCGGCATCCCCTGCCCCCCGTCAGGCCTCCGCCCCTCTCCCCAGCATGGAGGAATGCGAGGCCTTGTGCACCCGGCTGGCCATCATGGTGCAGGGTCAGTTCAAGTGCCTGGGCAGCCCCCAGCACCTCAAGAGCAAGTTCGGCAGCGGCTATTCCCTGCAGGCCAAGGTGCGGGGCGACGGGCAGCAGGAGGCGCTGGAGGAGTTCAAGGCGTTTGTGACCCTGACCTTCCCAGGTGAGGGCCACCACACAGAGGGACTCTGTGCCTCAGCCCTGCCGAGCCCCCCCCATCCCCGTCCCTGACCCCTGAGAGGAGGGCCGTGACTCCATGGTCCCAGGCCCTCCGGGGAACACGGTGTCCTCTCCGTGCAGGCAGCGTCCTGGAAGATGAACACCAAGGGATGGTCCATTACCACCTGCCCGGGGATGACCTCAGCTGGGCCAAGGTGAGCATGTACCTGGGCATCAGAGGGAGCAAAGCTGTGATGTCACCTACTTTCTGGGGTGACGTGTTTCCTTTTCTTCATGAACGTTGCATTCACAGCATTTTTTCTCTGCCGTCTCCACGGTAATATTCACACAGATTTCATAAAACACGAGGACGTGTGAGCTGGAAGGGACTTTCAGCTCCTCCTACCCCTCATTTCAGAGAGAGGGAAGCGGGTCCAGAGAGGGGACACTGCACGTGCAGGGTCCGACAGCACGCCAGAGATCCAGCTGGGGCTTCTGCCTGCTGGCCCCATGCCCGGGCAGTGCCTTTCCCTGAGATCAGACAGCTGACTTCCCTAGGACTGACTTCTTAGGAAGTGCTCTGGGGACAGCTGAAAAAGAGATGGGTCTTTGAGGGGCTTCATCACACCCAAGACCCTTCCTCTTCCTACTCTCTGCTGCCTCCTGTCCCTTCCCTTGTGCCCATCATCCACAGTGGCCTCCCTTCTTCCCAAAAGGTGTTTGACATTCTGAAGCAAGCCAAGACGAAATTCAGACTGGACAACTACTGTGTCAACCAAGTGTCTCTGGAGGACATTTTCCTGAGCTTCACCTGCTCTGCGCATCCAACCAAAGAGGAAAACAAACAAGGGCAAGCAGAGCCAGCAGACCATTCACCAACCTCTCCACCTCCCTCTCCACTGCCCTCCCAGCCTCCTGCTCTACTTCCCTCCCAGCCTCCCTCTCCACCTCCCCCTCTACTTTTCTCCCAGCCTCCCTCTCCACCTTCCTCTCTATTTTTCTCCCTGCCTCCCTCTCTATTTTCCTCCCAGCCTCCCTCTCCACCTCCCTGAGATGTTTACTTCCTATAATAAAGAGTGCACAGTTTGCCAAATGCTGCGAGGAGTTACAAAAGCAGCTCATAGACACAGTGAGCTCAGTTCAGGGTCTGGGTGGCTCTCTGTTAAACTGGGCCCTCACTTTACAGACCTGGTGAAGAACCTAGTTCCATTTCAGTGGAAAACGATCCCCTTGAGTCCTACTGGGTGGCTGCATGGCCTCCCTGAGACCTGGCTGTGTCAGCAGCCTCAGAGGTGCACCTGCCATGTCCTTTTAAGGTGCAGTGGCCTGGGGGTGACCACGGTTCTCATAACACCGTCCTTCTGAAAGCAAGAGGAAGATGATTGACAAGTTTGCTAAGCGAAGTCTTAATTTTTCGGCATTTGAGTATTGGGATTCGTGAGGCTCCGTTTGATCTCTGCACACGCCCCCCCACCCCCGGTCCTTACAAATCTTAGGGGTGAGCCTGCACAAGACAGCCCATCAACCCATAAAGTGTTACTCAGATGAATAACCTGAAACTTAAGAGACATCCGTCCACTTCCTACAGTCAACAGGAAGTGGAGCCAAGATTCAAGTCACAGAGAGGTTCTCAAAGTGGGGTTCCTAAGCAGCAGCTAGAAACATGCTAGAAATCCAGATTCTTGGGCCCCACCCCAGACCTGGTGAATTGGAAATACTTGGTGTGGGACCCGGCAATCTGTGTTGTAAGGACCCCGTGTTAACAGGCACTTCTGACGCCGCTCAGGTGTGACAGCCACTGAGTGCAGGCCTGTGTGCTCCAGGCCGAGGCTCGGGCCAGCCTCTGTGCACTCCTCTGGGAAGTGCCCTATCACAGAGCCTTTCTCCAGCCTTTGCAGGTAGCTCTCTCCCTCCTTTCTCAACCAAGCTCCTGGAAAGCGGTGTCTCCTGTCCCTCAGCAGACTTCCTACCTGCCATCACCACTCACCCCAAATTGCAGCACTGCTCCACCCCTGGCGGCCACCCCGCTGGTCTCTCCACCCTCTCTCCTTGTGTCTGCTGGTGGCATTTCAGAGGGTCCCGCCCACAGCCTTTTCCCCTCACTCCCACCTCTGCACCCTGCTGTCCTTGAATCATTCTCATTCACCCCCCACCCCATGACTTCAACCACCATCTTCTTCGAGTCAGGAACTTCCCAGACCCCCGACAATCCAGACTTTTCCAGTGAGTTCTCAACCCTCCTGCGTGGGGGGTGTCCCGTGGGAAGCGGGCTCTCCTCGCCCGCTGGGAGCGGCTTGTCACCCCCACAGGCTCTGGCACCCCCCACCCCATCACCCCCGCAGGTTCTTCCTGCCAGGGTGACGGACGCAGGCTGCAGGCGAGGGCTCGCAGCATGGCCAAGAGAAGAGCACTGGTTTTCCGAAAAATATGAAAACTTTACCTCTGAATAAAGAAAAAAACAATGAGGACATAAGGAAGCAGGGATAGGACACCTGAGGGACTTAAGGGAGCAAGGACGATGTTTTGGGCTCCCCAGGGGAGTGGGCGTGGTGACAATGGTTTACTAGCCCTTCAAGGTGCTCCCTGCATCCAGGCTGAAAGGGCACGCCACTGCCCTGGGGGAGCCCAGCAACGAAGCCACAGGGCAGGGGAGGCGGACAGCCCAGTAACACGGCTGGAAGCAGTAACCAAAGGTGTGAGGAAGGATGAGAAACCCGGAGTCCGCCCTGGGCTCCTGTTATGCTTCTGGGTGTCACGGGCCATCTGAGGAGCCCCGAAGCCCGCTCGCTGGGGCTCTGTCCCCTCTGCTTCAACCCCAGGTCCAGGGGCCTAACAGGGGGGCCGCTCACACCCCGGGTGCGGCCGTCCGTGTACTTCCCTGCCCCCTGCGGCAGAATGGGCAGCGTGGCTCTCGTGTGCGCCCGCCCGGCTGCCCAGACGACCCAGGGGCCGGCCGGAGGGGAGGGGGGGCTGGCTAGGGGCGCGCACGGGTGAGGAGTGTCCTCCTCCGTCCAGCGTTCCCCCAGTGAAAGACGGGCCCGGCAGGAGGGCACTGCCCAGTCCTGACTGACACGGTGCTGGGGTGGCCGGCGGCAGCCAGTGGAGCCGGCTCCCGGGGGGCAGGGAGGACACAGCGGGGACAGACGGGGCGACGTCCTGCCCAAGGGACGCCGGAGCCACAATTCGGGGAAAGAAGGCGCCGGCCGAGGCGCTGGAGGGGCGGCGTTCCGGTCCCAGCCCTCTGTGGCCCGGCCGTCCGAGCAGCAGTCTCCCCGCCAGACGCGCGGGCCGGAGGCTGGACGCGCGGCCTCGGGGCCAGGGGCGTGGCGGGCGCGCACAGGCTTCCGCGGACGCCGCTAGCCTGGCCCCGCGCAGCGGGAACTGCCCGGGCTCATGCACACACAGAGACGCCCCCGCCAACCTGGGCTACGCCGCGCTCCCCGGGGACCCTTCCCGCCCCGCCCGGGGAGGCGGGGCGGCCGCGTGGAATCCACCAATCAATGGCCGGCGTTCGAATTCGCGTCCTGGCGTGGCCAATCGCGAGCGCCCGGCGCGGGTGTGGGGGCGGGGCCGGGGCCGGGGCCCGGCGGCCCGGCGACGCGCGCCCCCCCCGGCCGGCCAATGGGAGGGCCGGGCGCATTTGAAAACTCGGGCGGGCGGCGGGGCAGGTTTGCGCCTGCGCTGGGCGAGCGGGGCTGACGGCTGTCGGGGGCGCGGGCGACGGAGTTGGCTGCGGCGGCGGCGGCGGCGGCGGCGGCGGCGGCGGCGACGGCGATGGGGAGCGGCGGTGGTGAGTGCCGGGCGCGGGCTGCGGGCGGACACCGGGCGGGGCGGCTCGGGCCCTTCGGCCCCGCGTGCGGGGCGTCACGGCGGCGTCCGTCCGGCGCGCGGTTTAAATGCCCGGTGGCGCCGCGGGTGAGGGTGGGCTTGGCGTGAACGCCCCGCGCCGGACCGGGCACCTGTCCTGGCCGGAGAGTAGCGCGACCCGCCTAGAGCGAGGGGACGAGGACGGTGTGGCGGCCCCATCCAGCTACCCCGTGGGCCCCAGGCGCCCCGCGCGGCCCGTAATTGCTGGTAGGCGACCTCGGTGCGGAGCCGGGCAGGGCAGGGCAGGGCAGGAAGGCCTGCGGAGGGGGTCCCGCGGGCGGGCGGCGGGGAGGACGCCAGGTGAGCGGGGCGAGGGGCTCCTGCTGTATCCTCTCGGAGATGGGCAGGGGTCGGAGGGCAGAACCAGCATCCGCCCTGGTCACTCTTGCCCCAGTAGCCAAGTTCCAGGCTCGCCTGCTGTTTGCCTTAAGCACTTCCTGACTCTGAATGAATGACGGTGGCTGCGGGAATCCGCGGACCCCCCACTCTTATTTAACGCTTGTTTGGGACCAGAAATGCAGCCGGTTGCTTCTGTTCAGTCGTCTTCAGATACAACTGTGCCCGTCAGCACAGCTCCCTTCCTGCACATCCCCGACACCATTCTGCTGTTCTTCCTCAGTGATCCACTGCCGGTGTGCCAAGTGTTTCTGTTACCCTACAAAGCGAAGAATAAAGAGGAGACCCCGAAACCTAACCATCCTGAGCCTCCCTGAAGATGTGCTCTTTCATATCCTGAAGTGGCTTTCTGTTGGGGACATCCTGGCTGTCCGAGCTGTAAGTCGCCAGATTAAAGTGGCGTCAGCCCTGTAGCTTGTTGGCCTGACTTGCTGGTTGTCTCATCAGGGCTTCCCATTCTTCAATGTCAGAACAACATTTTGGCTACAAAAGAGGGAAGAGGCAACAAGCGTGATGTTGTTACTAGGTGTTTGAGGTTGTTGCAATCGGAAAGCTGAAACATAGTGCCATATGTTTTGAATCCGTTCATTGCAATGTCTGACAGAGAAAGGACCCTAATGTGGTGGTGAAGTTCTCACCTTTTAAGAATAAGAGAGCATTAGGGACGCCTGGGTGGCTCAGTTGGTTAAGCGGCTGCCTTCGGCTCAGGTCATGATCCCAGGGTCCTGGGATCGAGTCCCACATCGGGCTCCTTGCTCGGCAGGGAGCCTGCTTCTCCCTCTGCCTCTGCCTGCCTCTCTGTCTGCCTGTGCTCGCTCGCTCTCTCTCCCTCTGTCCCTGACAAATAAATAAATAAATTAAAAAATCTTTAAATTAAAAGAAAAAAAAAAAGAATAAGAGAGCATTAAAGAAAACAAAAATACATTCACAAAGACAAACCACACATAGTATCGAGCCCTGAAAGGGACCCTGGGAGTTAGTTTGCACATACTCAACAGCAGCCTCCTTCAGACTGACTTACTCAAGGGCATACCGCATATTGGTGGGAAAAGTCCACCAGGAACTTGTTTCTCTGACTCCCAAAGCCACCTCTGTGTGGTCATAATATCCACGCGTGCTGAGTATTCAATAGCAATGGAAACTTCAGCACCTGAAACGCTTGCCTGGGCTCAGGGCTCCCAGCTGGGGCACTTCCTGCCTCTGACCAGGGTGGTATTGAGTTTATTGGTCTTTTTCTAGACCCTCCATTGACCTTCAGACGCCAGCCATGTTCCCACTGGCAAAGCCCCAGGTAGAGGAGCACATACCATAATTCTGTTCTACTTGCTCCCGTTAGAGTCAAGTAGGGGATACACCCTTACAGGGGCGTCTCCTCCTTTCTCAGTCTGGATGCTTATTCCCCCTTCTGGCAGCACTGTCCCCACCTTTAGAGCCTCCGAGAAACTTGTTTCTTCCGTCTCTTAAAGCAGCCATGACTTTGATCCACAGGGGGCCCTCCATCTGTCTTTGTCCCATGTTCAAGGGCTCCAGGAGTGGGGCTTCTGGGAGGGCCCGTGGTAATCCCCGCCACTTCCGTTCTGCAGGTGCATTCCCACCTGAAATACCTGGTGGACAACCACGCCAGCGTGTGGGCATGTGCCAGCTTCCAGGAACTGTGGCCTTCTCCAAGGAACCTGAAGCTCTTTGAAAGGTATCCGTGCCCCTGACCACAGCTCCGTTTTCTCCCGTCTCTGGGCCTCCCCGGTATGCCAGCCTGTGTCCCAGCGCCTGACTTGGGCAGGCTTTTTTCCTTTTGCAGTTGCCCTCGCCCACACCTCACCCCCAGGGAGGGACTGGGGGCTGTCAGCATCACCTGTGGAGTCACGTGAAGCACAGTCATCGGCCATCTGTGCCACCAGCCCCACCAGACTCATTAGTCACTGTCATGCTTCAAAGGGTCTCCCTTGGGCTGGGACCAGTCTGCGTGATTCAAACGCAGGTCACCTCCCTGTGGAAATTGTACTCAGCCCTCTTTTTATTTTTTTATTTTATTTTTTAAGTTCAAAGCGTGTGATTTCACTCCTATTGGATTTTACTCCCTGGCTGATCCTGTCCTCCTGCTGGGGTTGGGACCCAGAGGGAGGGTCAGATCAGGTGTGAGCCCCTCAGCCTGGGAGCCCCGGCATGCTAGTGGCTAGACCTACTGTCCCTGTGTGTCGGTGGCTCGAGACAGGCCGCCTGAAACCTAAGCCACATACCATGTGATTTCTTCATTGAGGGTGTGCAACTCAGTGGTTTTTCGTAGAGTCACAGAGTTGTGCAAGCATCGCCACTAACTTGAGAACATCCTCACTACCCCCGTGGCAAAGCCAGAGGGAATAGGGGTTGACTTCAGTGCCCACTCCCTATTTTCCCTGCGATCCCCCCAGTCCCGGGCAGCCCTACATTGCCCACTTACCCGTGGATTTGCCTGCTGTGGGCATTTCACGTAAGGGGAGTCTTACAACATGTGGCGTTCTGTGGCTGCGTTCTTGTGCTTGGCACGCCTTTAAGGTTGGTCCATGTTGTCGTGCGTCATGGATGAGTGATATTTGACTGCATTGCCTAAAAAATCCCCAGTTAGGGAACAAGTGTTCTAGCGTCGGGTGCCGTGGAGGGACAGGACCTTCCCAGGACAACACAGGTGATGCTGTGTGTTTTTAATGGTCTAGGGCTGCGGAAAAGGGAAATTTTGAAGCTGCCGTGAAGCTGGGCATAGCCTACCTCTACAATGAAGGCCGTAAGTCCTCCCGGGGCTGGGGCTGGCCTCACCCAGCTCGGTGCTGACCTTGTAGAACAGGCATGAGCCCTTCCTCGCCCCTTCACCCCTTATCCCTGCCAGGTCCAGCTGCGGGCCTCTCCCCTCAGCAGCCTATGCTCACAGGAGTGGGATGCACTGGTGAACTTTGAGTCCGTACACTTTATTTTAACAAACTTTGTTTTGATGAATGCTTTGAGACTTAGAGTGGGGGGAGGGGAGGCTACTCAGGCAAGCCAGGCTTCCCCACCCCCAGCAATGCCCTGCTCCGTCCAGTGAACCCCACAGCCCACGTGTAGGTGCTGGCCCCTCTCCTTCCTTGGCCATAGTTCCTCCCTGGAACTCCGGGGCAGCGATCAAAGAGTTCCTAATTCTGTGGGGTGTTCATAACATGGTAGCCCCGGCTCCAGTGGGAGGCAGGTCCATGCAGGTCAAAGCCGGCTCAGTGCCTGAACTCCTTCGCCCCTCAGGGAACAGGTGCTCCTTGAAAGAACCCGTGTGGCCTCCTCCTGTCCCGGTGCCTGCCCCGTTGCTTAGCACACAGAACCAGCCTGCAGGGTGTCCAGTTGGACCCCCCAAACACATAAAGCCTGGGGAGAGCTGCTACGCTGCTGCTTCTCAAAGATGTGGCATATTGCCGAGACAGCCCCTGCTATAGGACTGTTGAGAGCAGTAGAGGCGAGGAGCAGTCCTGCTGCCCCATCAGACAGTGGCTCCAGACAGGACTCATGTGCCATCCGCCTCACCCGCCCCAAGTGTCCAAGCCAGCAGCTTGTATGCACCTCCCTCACAGCGTGGCGCAGCCATCGCCACCAGCCAGATTTGGAACATTAGCCCCACAAGAAACACCACACCTGCTAGTGTGGGTTCAGGCTGTAGCTTCCAGCAGGAGGGAGGGTGCTGGTGCCACCTCCGCAGGGGGACACCTTCCCAGACCTTCAGATCCTAGGCTGCT